ACACACACACACACACACACACACACACACACACACACACACGACCCTTTTTCTTACATCATTCTTCCTACATTTGTAATTCATGCCTAAGTGTGAGGCTCCCATGTCCGTCCTCACTCTCCGGGTATTTTATTTCTCTCCTGGGACTCTTGCCTTTTTTTCCTATTGCTTTTCTTGAGCCCTGTCAGACTTTTCAGATGCTTCCGAGACAAATTTGCAGTGACCTTGGAGGGAATTTATTTAATGGTTAATGAAAACCCAAGGGCTTTAATCAGGCTAGCCATGAATTCTGTTTTCAATACTTGCCATCCTGCGCACTGTAATTTTCCTTCTGCACTGTATCAGAGAGATCACCAGCTTAGGAGAAGGGAAATCTGGCAAATACCTTCAGTTCTGCTACTGGATGACCTTGACCAAATTATTTATTCTTTCCAGACTTCAAGTCCTACGTGGTGTGGGTGGTGATAGATTAGCTGGTGGAGGAACAGATGATTAATTAAGTGAAATGATTAGCTTCAGATAAAGGCTGTTTGCTCTACAGGCTGCTACAGCCCCCTTTACTTGGGGGGGTAGGGAAATTCATCACTTACAGGGATGAATCACATTTAAATCTTTGACTTCTAGTTCCCACCCTTTCTTCGGCAGCCCTGCTGGCAGGCTCAACTTCTTGCTATCTCTGGCATGTATGCCTATGTACTATTCTGAAATAATGAACACATTACTTGGAATATTTTCAGTCCTCTTTCTTCCCAGGTCTTGCAATTACTTCACTTGCTTTACGCTCACAGTGGCAACTGTGACCCCCTGACTCCCAGATGTCGCTGTTGTTTCACTTACTTTGCCTACAGGTAGCACTGGGCTGATTCAGAGTTTTGTGTTCCTGTGTCCATCTCACATCCTGAAATATTTCTGAATCCTGAAATGAGATTTTTTTTCCTGTTCACCAAATTCATTTCCCTCCCATTTTATTTGTTAGACAATTTCATATTAAAACACTATACACCATTCCCCACTCCTCCCTCCATATCCTCCCATACATCCCCATTCCTCAGATTCATGGTCTCTTATTCTTTAATTATTCTTCAAATATGGCTCTCAATTTTATTTTTTTTTAATTAGCATCAAAAGTCTCTAAAAGACATTCAATTCTGAAAAAGGATTCTGGGCAAAGGAGGTAGGAGGGAATTGACTGGCTGTGGTGCCTCTTATTCCTGCTACTTGGGAGGCTGAAGTGAAGGAACATCTAAGCCTAGGAGTTCAAGACTAGCTTGGGTCAAACCAACTGCAATGAGACTCCATCTCACACACACACACAAAAGAACAGGAGATAAAACAGGAGAGATTGAGGGAGGACAAAAGACAGAAGAAGGAAAGAAGGGAGGAAATAAGGAAGGGAGGAAGGGAGAGCGAGAAACAAAGAAAGAAATTAGGAGTGGTCAAGATAGTTTGGTAATGATGGAACTTCAACCTGTAGTTAGCATTTATGGAGCTTTACTACACAGCAAATATTGTATCACTCACTTCACCTGCATTAGTTCTTGCAAGCCACACAACACTGCTGTGAGACAGACACCTCATTTTATAGGTGAAAGAATTGCTCCAAGAATTTAAATCACATGTCTAAGATTACAGAGCTACTACGAGATGGTGGCACTAGAGTTTGAGCCTCTGATGTTTGATTGCAATGCTACACTTAGAGCCACTTTACTATACTGCTTCTAGTCTGTGAGTGATCTATATCTAGGGACTATGAATAGGCCATGCCCCAGGCTAAGACCCTTTACTAGTGGGCTGAAATGATTCTTAGTAATTTGGGGTCAGAAGTGTATCAAAAGGCATCCGAGTGCTACAAAGATCTGCTCAGCAGACTAGCACCTCCAAACTTGGGCTAGAGTTCAGTTAGTTCATCTCCATTGCATTCCTGTTACTTTAATGTTTACATGGCAATACAAATTATCCTCTTAGATGATGTGCAGAAGTTTGGACAGGCTCACACAGTCCTTACAGCTCACACAAGTCCAAAACAATGCATTAGTTTGCAAAAACGTCTCACAAAAGCAGGAAAATATATGTCAGGGTATAATTAAAGAGGCAGACCCATCTGGGAATGGTTTAGTCTTTTTCCAGTGGGCATTGTTTAAAAGATGCTAAATTTATTCTTTGTTTCTTCAGAAATTTTCATGTTCACTTACTGCCATCTTTTAAGGGCGATAGTTTGAAAGCTCCAGCCAGTCCAGGAACTGGCAATTGTTTCCGAAGAAAGCTAGATACACATTTTACGCTTTTGCAAGCTATTTGTTCTCTGCTCCAGCTACTCAACCAACTTCACCATAGCATCACGAAAATATCCATAAACAATATGGAAAAGAGTAGACATCCCAATCCCACTTTATTTATAGTCAATGACATTTGGGTTTCATATATAGTTTTTATGTCATAGTTTTATGACATAGTTTTATGTTATTCTTTCAATGTTTTTAGCTATTTAAAGTGAAAACAAAAATGCAAACACTCTGACTTTTGAGGACAAGAAAATCTGATGATGAGCCAGATGTGGGACATGGGCCCCAGGTTGCTGGTGCTGCTCATTAGCATCTAATGCATGTCTCAGATTGTCCACTATGAAAACAGGTTTGATACTAGATTAATTTTAAAAGGGAAAAAATGAACACAAAATGCTCAAGATGTCCATATTATTTCCTAACCCTTGTGTCCATCTTTGCCAATTCCTCTGTATGCCTTGCTTATGTTTTTTTCTTCTAGGTCTCTTGGTTGGGGTTGAACATTTTTCTGTTTGTGTATGCCTTCCTGAATTATGAGAAGTCTGACAAGTACTATTACACAAGAGAAATTCTTGGGGTGAGTACTGTGCTTGTGATGTGCAGAATTTCTATGTTGGGTTTTTATTTTTGTTTTCTTTTTGAAAATGTATTTTTGAAAATGCCTCGCTCTTGCAATCCTCATGCCTCAGCCTCCCAAACCAGCCACCAGGTCTGGCTACTTTCTTCTTTTGTTGTTGATGGTGTTTGTTAAAATATTCCATTTCTGCCCCTTTTCTGATCCAGTTCTTTGATTTCTTCCAGGGACTAGATTTACCAGGGGAAAATGCAGATGCTCATTCAAATTTGAATTTCAGATAAATGATGAGTAATTATATATATGTATATATATTCTAATTATACATGAGTATACAAAAATATTCATTTTCATAGACTTTTTTTGAGACAGGGTCTTATCTGCCTCTTGGCCTCCAGAAGGCTGAGATTCAAGGTGTGTAACACCATACCTGACTTCATGTGAAATTCTAACTTAAATAAACATGGAGTATTTTTATTTGCTATATCTGACAGTGGGCACACTCCTCAGGCCCAATAAGGAAGTCATGAAAACTATTAGGCAGTGAGTGACTCACCACTGGTTTTCTGAAGCTCACATGTTGCCACAGGGAGCAGAAGGCTAACTAGACAGAATCCCTTTCTCTGCTTCCGCTTTGACCAGAGCACCCTTCATCTGCCATGTGGCCTCCTGAGTATGATTTGAAGAGCTTTCTGAGTATAAATATAAATGACATTTGTTTGATATGCCCAAGGCCATGATTCAATCCCCAGCACTGCAAAATATTGTTCTGAAAAATGATAAGGAATAAATAAAAACAAATAAAAATAAAATAGAAAAATTAAAAAGGAAATCTTGATTGGGGCTTGCAAGATGGGTTTGCAAATAAAGGCAATTGCCACTAAGCCGGATTACCTGAGTTTGATACCTGGAACTCACATGGTAGAGGGAAAGAACTGACTCCTGCAAGTTGTCCTCTGATAACACACACACACACACACACACACACACACACACACACTAAAAATTAAAGGAAAACTTCAAAACCACTGCTGTGGTTTGTGGTGATATATTATTTATGACTTACTAAAGCTTGCCTGAGGATTCAGAAGGCAAAGTCAGCCACAACCATAGAGATCAGGCAGCAGTGATACACACCTGTAATCCCAACAACCAGAAGCTAGGAGGTGGTGGTACACACCTTTAATCCTAGGACTCAGGATTAAGAGGTAGACGGATCTCTGTGAGTCCAAGGCCACCCATAGCTACACAAGATTGATCCAGTCCTAAAGAGAAACAGCTCACACAAAGATGATCTCAGCGCCTGGGATCACACGCCTTTAATCCCAGCACTAGAGGGGTATAAAAGATAGGATCAGGGTCTACAGTAGTCAGTATTAGGAAGATTCATTCTTCAGCCACATTGAGGATAGGAAGACATTCAGTCTCGGGATTCTCCAGCCACTCTGAGGAGAAGCAGCAGGATCCGCCTGAGGTGGTGCTGAGAGCTAGTAGGCAGCTACTTTGCTTTTATGATCTTCAGCTTGAAGCTTTAACCCCAATATCAGTCTGTGGGTCATTTATTTTTGTGCAACAGTGGTTTAATGCCCCCCAAGGGAAGAAGAGGAATACCCTGGGGTTTTGGAGGTTACAAGGGAAGCTGTACACTGCTGCAGAACTCAAGGCCTACTGAAAAGCTGGGTTATCTCAGGGTAAGAACAGAAATGAGAAGGCTGGAAGGGTGGCAGGTCAAGTACAGAAATGGGGGTGGGAGTTAACTGAGTACATGGCTTTGGAGGTGGCCAGGTAGAAACCTGGAGCTGAGGCAGTTGCTTCCCAGAGTGGTGCACGTGCGCCCTACCTGGTTAGGACAGGAAATTTGCTTTACACTTCTCTGTATCATGGAGGAGGAGATAGGGGATTTGTTAAACCACTTTCAACTTGACAGAGCTTTATTTCTATAGTGTTCCACAAAGACTCACTCAATGTTCACATTTAAAGGCAGCTTTCCTTTAAAAAAAAAAAAACTTTCATTATAATCAAAGGACACATGTTGAGATCACAGTGAATTTGAATGTTCTGTTCATTGCTTATTTCACCTGCTGTTTTCTATTTTAAAAGTTCATTCTCTGTCCTCTTTTAGTAAGTCAAACTCCAAAGGAAGTGTTAATATGTCTTAAAATAGCTTTATATTAATAGATTGATGCAATAAGTATGACTAGTTATTAAGAACTTGTTTATTTCATGACCAAATTGTCAGTTGCAGAGAAATGAATCATACTGATATCCTGTGGCTGTTTCGATTTTTAAAGCCTTATTTAAAAATGAATTATAGGCATAGAGAACCCCTTGGGGAAAACAATTTTCATTTGTAAGTTGTTATCAATTAGAGATAGTTTCTGGGTTAGGGATGGAAGTTTGTGTCAACTACTCCTTTCAGCTCTAGGACCCTCTCTGGTACAGACCCCTGTAAGCCTTTTGCATGTCTCAGTAAGTTTGTATGCACATTCATCCTATTGTGTTTAGAAAGCCTTGTTTCCTTGGTGTCCTCCATCCCCTCTGGCTCTTACATTCTCTCTGCTTCCTCTTTTGCAGAGTTCCCTGAGCCCTGATGGGAGGGATTTGATGGAGATGTCCCACTTAGGATCAAGTGTTCCAAGGTCTCTCACTCTCTGCTTCTTGTGCTTTTTCCTGGGTTCTTTTCCTTGTTTGTTTTGTCCTATTCCATTGTGTAGTTTTTGGTTTTTCTTCCCTATATTCTATTCTGTACTATATTATATTCACTTAGAAGCCTGCTTATTTTCTAATGAGATACAGAAAGGAGGTGGGTCTAGAAGGGAAAGAAGGTGTGAAGAACTGGGTGAAATAAGAAAAGGGGAAACTTAAATCAGAATATATTATGTGAGAAAAAAATCTATTTTTAAAATTATATTCATTTGTATTTAGTGTATGAGTGCTCCGCATGTAACCCTGCAGGGCAGAAGAGGGCATCGGATCTCATTACAGATGGTTGTGAGTCACCATGTGGTTTGGGGGAATTGAACTCAAGACCTCTGGAAGAGCAGCCAGTGCTCTTAACCACTGAGTCAGCCCCTGAAAAACTCCATTATCAATCAAAGAAAAAGCAGTAAAAATGAATTATAAATAATGCTGCATTCAGTGAGATCAAAGTGTGCCAGGAACATGTGAAAACCCCCTTTTTCCCACTCCCCAGAGATCACCACTGCTAATAGATTGCTGCATGTATTAAACAGTCACACTGATGTGTTCACAAATGCATCAGACACACATTTTGTTTCTGTTCCAATATAGGCAATAGTGTTCATTTCCTTTTTAATTTTAATGTAGCGAAAGTTGTTCTTTTTTTAATATATGTCTACAAATATAGTGGGACTCACATGTTTTTCAATTCAGTCAAAAAGGGATCACACTACAGATACTGGATGGAAATCACTTCCTACACTAAATATGTCTTGGGTGTCTTTTTCTGTGAGTGTAGTGGAGCCAGCTCATCCCAGCTTACAATCATAAGCATCTCTTCCCAACTGCATTCAAGGACCTCGAGCATGAAATTCGCTCTGTTTACATTATCCAAACAGGCAGATGCTGGAAATGGAGAGGCTCCATCTAACAGGCATAAACAGTTTGGAGCCTGTTAGCAGAGGGAGAGACAAACAAAATGCAGTGTATGCAGTGTACACACAACAAATGGCTTTCTTTCTTCAACCATAAAGAAGAAACAGAACTAGGTGATTGGCAGGAAAATGGATGTGGCTGAAGATACCTATATTAAGAGAATCAAATCAGCCCCCGGGAAGGCAAGCATGGGGGTTTCTTTCATTGGCGGCTCTCAACTTTTTTGTGGAGAAATAAAACCATACCTGTGTATATGACAGGAAAGTAGAAGTAAAACTGGTGGCCGGGGGCAAAGAGGATTAAAAAGCAGGGGAGGGATGAGAGAAAGAAGGGTAGGAGGGTATGGGTGGGAGTATGATCAACATACAATATAGTTGTAGAAAAGAAAACTTTGAAATCATCAAACTTCAGTTTTAAAAGCTGGCTTTTAAAATGTCTACAATGCCTACACCACTGCTTTTCATGTTCGAAGAGAGTATCAGACCCTTTATACTGATGGGCCATAACTGACTGAATCTTTACATAGGGTAACTTTAAAATTCATGCTTTCTTTGGAAAAATACAGAGAACTGCTCAATTAATGGATTGTTGCAAATAAGGAGCAGAGGGAGGAGTTTAAACCCACAGTAAATGAGGCCTTTCTGACTACCAAGAACATTGGTTGATATAGAGAAATTAATATACATTGGGATACTTCCACGTTCTGCAATAGGTCAAAATGAAAGTTGGTTTTTTGTTTGTTTCTAAAAAGAATTTATCTTGGATGGATAACTGCCACAGAATGTGGAGATGTGAAATTATAGTCCTATATTTTCAATTTACTTGCCAATTTTAGTTTCAAGAATCCTCAGTGACTCAAATAAGAACACTGTGGGAGCCAGTGTGGAGATAAATGTAAGATCTTTGTCGTGAGCAGAGAAAATTTCATCTGTAATGGAACAGGCTGTCTCTACCAAAAACAGCCAGAGTGTGACTCAGCAGAGGGAGAAACCATGGGCCATATGAAGAGTCTGAAGTGGAAAGCAGTAGGACAGCTCTTGTTTACTGTGCTGCCTGTGTCGAAAGCCAGCATGAGCACTAGGCAATCTTGACCCAGCTTGCTTCATTAAGGTCACACTGTTCTGAGTTTAGATTGTACAGAAAAAGGTTTCTTTTTTGTTTTGTTTTTAATGGTTGACTACATTTCTTCCTCCCTCCCTCCCTTCCTTCCGTTTTCAATTTACCATATAAAGAAGTAAAGAATTTCCATTATGACATTTTCATACATATGCCAATCTTTGTTCTTATTCATCGTCCTCCTGCAGAGCCTTCCCCAGTCTCCTCTTGCTGGTTCCCTCTTTTGAAATGTTTTCTCTTCTGCTTTCATGTCACGTGTAATCCATTGCTCTCTCATTTTTTCCTTCCTCCACCTCCTTAAGATCTCTTCCTCTCCTCCCATGGTCCTGTTTCTATTTTCGGGGCATGCACACACAGAGACATAGATAGATACACACAGAGAGACATGTGCATGTTACAAGTCATTTCTCTCCACCTGGAGTATCCTGGGAATTGAACGTAGATTGACGGCAAGCACCTTTACCAGCTGAGCTATTTCACTAGTCCCTGAGAAACCTTTTAATTTCGTCTAATTCCACTTTTCAATTGTTGGGTTTATGGCCTGGGTTGTTTAAATCTTTTGCAGAAAGCCCATGTTTATATCTTGAAGTATCTTCCTATGTCTTTTCCACAGTCAGAGTTTGAGGCCTTAAATTCAGGTCTCTAATTCATTTCCAATTATTTCTGTACAGAGTAAGTTATATGTATTTAGTTTCTTCCTTCAGCAGATATGTATCCAGGTTTTCCAGCACCATTTTGCTGGCTTTTCCCCAATGTGTGTTTTTGATACTGTTGTCAAATATTAGGTGGGATTAGGTTTATTTCTGGGTCCTCTTTTCTATTACATCAGACTATATATAGCAGTTTTGTAAAATTATTTACTTTTTGTGTGTGGTGTGCATCCATCTGTGTGTATAGGTATGAGTACTTCTCTTCAAAAGCCAGGAGCTGTCAGGTCTTCTGCTCTATCACTCTCCACATTATTACTTTGAGAGAGGGTCTCTCACTGAACCTTGAGCTAGGCTGGTGGCCAGGAAGCCCCAGTGATCCTCCCGTCTCCACCCACACTCCTCAAACATTGTAGTTACAAGTGTTGTCATGTCTGGCTCTCAACATGGGTGCTAAGGGTTAGAAGTCGAGCCTCATGCTAACATAACAATGTTCTTACCTGCTCTTCACTATCTCCCCATCCCTTTATATGTGTTTTTGTAATGGTACCATGTCATTTTGTTGTTATGGTTCTGTAGTATAATTTGAGATCAGGTTTTGTGATACCTATGGCATTATTCTTTCTGCTAAGGATTTCTTAGTCTATTCGGAGTCTTTTTGAACTTCCATATGAATTTTAGATTGTTTTTTCTAGTTCTGTAAAGAATGTCATTGGAACTGTGAGGGGAATTGCATTGAATCTGTAGACCATTTTAACAATATTGATTTTCCCTATCCATGAGCATGAGAGGTATGCCTTAATAATTATTTTAAAAGACTAAGAAATTGTGAATTCTCATCCATACTTGTCTTTTTAGTTGTTTACAGGTACACAGGTAAGTCTCAACAATTAGCTGAATTGCAATTGAAAAATCGCCTGGCTGTTCCCCCACCCAATTACTACTATAAGATTGTCATAATTCATAGATAGCAGTTCACAAATCATAAAGAAACTTGGAGATCAGTTGTATAGAGTTGAGAGGCTGAGTTTAGCTGCCATGAGCAGCTTATACCTTTTACTATTCTTGCTTTATGTTCCCTGGTTAATCAAGGACATCATCCTGAAGTTTTGCACTTAGACATTACACCTTCTCAGGGAACAGTGCTTACCTAGCATGCAAAAGGCCCTGTGTCCCATGCCTAGCACCAAACACAAAGAAAGATTCTCCCTGTATCTCTAGCTATATTTAATAATATTGCTCTAAGGGTTCCATTTTAAAGATGACAGGTTAAATTTTTATTTTCTAAGCAAGTATTGCTTTCTTAAAATTTCAACATTAGAAAATGTAAAAAAGAGAATAAAATAGTCATCATCCATAATCATCTTTAAATATAAGCTTTAATTAAAAATATATAAAAGCATGTATGATCTCCAAGGCTATTTTATAAAGGGCAAACAATAAAATTATAATTCAATGCATGAAATAAAAGTATCCACTGCAAACACTGCTTCCATAGACTGTGTACGCTAATGTGCAATTACTGAACCATGATCTTGTTCACATTAGTAAACATATCACCTATCATTTCCAAACCACTGTCATGGGAATTTCTCAATTGCAATAAGTAAGTTCAGTTCATTTTCTCTCTTTGGCAGAGATATTGGCCTGGTATACTGGTTACTGAGAGAGGGTGACTGAGAGAGGCAGGTAGCTGCCCCAATGTCCATTTGCTCATCCTAGAAAAGTGGACTGGAACAGTCCTCACCTGCTGGATGCTGAGATAAAGTAGCAGTCTCTCTTTTCTCCTGTGTTCCAGACCACCTTGGCCTTTGCCCGAGCCTCTGCTTTCTGCTTGAATTTTAACAACATGATGATCCTGATTCCTGTGTGTCGCAATCTGCTGTCCTTCCTGAGGGGCACCTGCTCAGTGAGTTCTGGCTGTGCTTAGTCCAGCTTTCACATTAAACAAAGAGTCCCTGGAATGGAACCCAGAGGTCTCCTTTGGTGGATGATGATGGTTGGGTACTGGCATGCGGTGGCTAAGGCAGGCATGTTGGTGGGAACTAGTGAAATTTCATAAAACTGGCTGGTGATACCTGACCAGGATGACTTTGCATTTGTAGTTTTGCAACCGCACACTGAGAAAGCCATTGGATCACAACCTCATCTTCCATAAGCTGGTGGCATATATGATCTGCGTATTCACAGGTAGCTCGGGCACAGCATGCAACCATGAACAACAGGCAATTCAGGTGCAGTGTAATTCACTTGTGCATATAAACATTAAAAAATATTTAATGAGCACCTGGAACTCTTTATGAGACAGTTTTTAGACCCATATCCACGGAGTATATAATCTGTTCCTTTGGGAACTGAATGGGTGGTGGTGGGGGGAAGTCTTGGGCCTTTTTGTGTTGGGTATATACTGTGGACTCTGCATTCTGCTAGGCACTATGGGTGGAGATTGCTTAGTTTAGTGGGATATGGTTGCCATAATGTTCCTGATACCACCCATCTTTCCACTTAGCTATCCATGTCATTGCACACCTATTTAACTTTGAACGCTACAGTAGAAGCCAGCAGGCCATGGATGGATCTCTTGCCTCTGTTCTCTCCAGCCTATCTCATCACGAGAAAGAAGGGGATTCTTGGCTAAATCCCATCCAGTCTCCAAATACGGTGAGGTGTTTCGATGGGAAAGCATGACCAGGGAGGTCATGGCATTCTTGGCGGATTTTGTGTCAGGCTGACATTTCTCCTTTCACAGACGGTGTTGTATGCAACATTTACCAGTGTTGCTGGCCTTACTGGAGTGATTGCCACAATAGCCTTGGTTCTCATGGTAACTTCAGCTATGGAGTTTATCAGCAGGAATTATTTTGAGCTCTTCTGGTACACACATCACCTTTTTATTGTCTATATCATCTGCTTAGGGACGCACGGCCTGGGGTAAGGTCTTCAGATCCCATTCTCAAGTCCCAGCCCCTGATCTTGGATCATTCATTATCACGAGCTGTCCTACTTTTGTGTTTCAGTGGGATTGTCCGGGGTCAGACAGAGGAGAGCATGGGTGAAAGTCATCCCTACAATTGTTCAAGTTCTTTTCTTGAGTGGGATAAGCATGAGTGGAGTTGTACACGCCCTCATTTTGTGGGGCACCCCCCTGAGGTAAGAATGCCATAGGAGAAGGACTGACTCCTATTTTACTGTTGCCTTTGTTATTATTGTCATTATTATTGGCTCACTGTTGGTTCCTTCCCATGAAAGAGATCTAAAATTTTCCACAAAAGTCATCTGCAACAGGCAATCATAGGGACTCTTGAAGAAAAAAAAGAAATTGCTACAGCATGGCGCAATTAGTAGTTGCTCCATGCTGTGTGCCCTCCCTATAGAAGTAAAGTTATTGATAATATTTACTTCGTCCAGTGTTGCTGCTTGAGATGTCTCTGAGGTAGCACTTCTTTCATCTCCATTTTTGAACAAAAAGATTCTATTAGATGATGTGAAGTCACCATCACTAATTAATGAAGCTTTCATTTAAGTCTAAGTTTTATAAGTAAATAAAAATATACATAAATAGCCTGGCGGTGGTGGTGCATGTCTTTGATCCTAGCACTTGGGAGACAGAGGCAGGCAGATCTCTGTGAGTACAAGGCCAGCCTGGTCTACAAAGTGAGTTCCAGGACAGGCTCCAAAGGTATACAGAAAAACCCTGCCTCAAAAACCAAAAGTACCAGGCATTGGTGGGACACGCCTTTAATCCCAGCACTCGGGAGGCAGAGGCAGGCGTATCCCTGTGAGTTCGAGACCAGCCTGGTCTACAAGAGCTAGTTCCAGGACAGCCTCCAAAGTCACAGAGAAACCCTATCTCAAAAAACCAAAACCAAAAAATAAAACAAAACAAAAGTAAAATCAATCAATCAATCAATCAATCAATCAATAAACTCAGGGAATTAAATGTATATCCTGTGGTAATTATCATAGATACAGTTTACCTTAGCTTCCTACATTGAGGAATCAATGGAACTAGAAGAAAACTTATGATGCCTCAAAGTACTCTGAGAATGGTTAAATCTTTATATAATATGCATAGACTATATGATATGTAATATTCTAGCTATCTAAGAATTAATATTAATAACGAAGATGGGACTATATGAACCGGTGTTTGCCAATAGCCTGGTATCAAGGGAAATCAGGACTACTCCACAAATTACAACCTGCAGTAGCTTATGAATTTATTGCTATTTAATAAATTCTTTTTTATATTTTTTCTTTTTCAGATTTTTTTTTATTTGAATTAGAAACAGGGTTGTTTTACATAACAATCCCAGTTCCCTTCTCCCTCCTGTCCTCCCCTACCACCCCTTCCCAGGTAAAACCCTACCTATCACATATCCTTTCTGCTCACCGTGGATGGTGAGGCCTTCCATAGGGTGTCATCAGTGTCCATTGTATCCTTTGGGATAGGGCCTAGGCCCACGCCCGTGTATCTTGGCTCAGGGAGCATCCCTCTATGTGGAATGGGCTCCCAAAGTCCATTCCTATGCTAGGGATAAGTACTGATCTACTACAGGAGGTCCCGTAGACATCCCTAGCAGATGTCTCTTTCTCTTTATCATCACTGAACATCTTCCTGTATGAATTAGTACTACTACTGGCCACTTGTTTCTGATATTTGGTTCTATCAAGTAATGATGTAATTAACAGTCTAATACATGTAATTTAACATATATACAAGTACATTTATGGAATAAACTCCCGGAATTAGAATTTTCAAGTCTGGCAAATACTGCCCAATCACCGTCTACAAGTACTTAGAAATGTGTGTATTCTTACCAGTGGTGCACAGCAGTATTTCTTCACAACCTGGTCAATGCATTTTGTTACAAGCCTTTTGGGTCCTTCCTAATATATCAAGTAATTTAAAAGTATCTTTAAAAAATCATCTACCATCTATCTATGTAGTTATAAAATGGCTACAAAGAAGTAGAGAGGCCACAGTGGAGTTCAAGAATTTCAAGGTGACTTTACTGGAAGTAGAGGCAAAGGCTGACGATATTGCTGTAAAGAGAATCTCTGTGGGAGTCAGCTAATAAATCCTGTGGGAGAGCTGTTGAAGATAGCTCAACTGATAGCATCATAACTGAGCAGAGCTTCAGCATTGCATCTATCTGCAGGAGCAAAGTGCAGGACCACAGGGGCTGTGGAGGTCAAGTGCAGGATCAGACCTAGACAGACTAATGGGTGGATGGACAAATGGATGGAATTAGAGTGAATCCTAGCAACCGTGGGGACTTAACTGAGTTGAAGCCTCTGAGACAGTTGGTGGTTCTCTACCTTTTCAGTCCTTTGATGCACATATGAAATGGTCAGATGACAAGCCAGTGGTGGGCCCACCATTGCTCTTACGCTGTTAGATGCCCTACTCTTTATGGGATCCAGGTGAGGATATTGCTCATCTGTGTTATTTTCTCCCTATAGTACGGGAGACACATTAGATTGGCCTATTTTCAAGTGTACTTAAATTCAGAAGTTACTTTGATTGGCCATGAAATAGCCTGAGTGAGGATACCAGTTTTGCTGCCCAAATGTATTGCTTTGTTTCTTCCACAAACATTTACAAAAAGATACTCTGTTTTTCAAGACAGAGTTTCTCTGTGTAATAGCTCTGGCTGTCCTGGAACTCACTCTGTAGACCAGGCTGGCCTGAGTGCTGGAATTAAAGATGTAAACCACCACCACACCTGGCTATAAAAAGATATTATTAACACATTCACCGTTTAAAAATTAGAAAAATAACACACATTTATTTTTTACATTTATTAAAGATTGTCAAAAAATATAAAAATAGAAGTGAATTAAAAATTCATATATTTCTACAACCGGAGGTAATCCTATCTATGTTATGGAGTTTTTCCTCTATTCTCAAATATTCCTTTTAAAAAGTGTTTTTAAAATATCTGTATGTGCCATTTTGGTCATTTTTTAGTAAATGTTTTGTTCGATATAGTTGCCATGGGCTTTATGCTCACCCTCAGTATTTTTTTTTCAATCCTTATTTTCTAGAAGTAAATTCCAGGATCAAAGAGAGGGAATGCTATGACACTGTTGAAATGTGCTGTCAAATTGTCCTCTAGGAAAGTGCTGTCAACCTCCATTAGCTACATATTTGAACATGTGAATTGTTCCAAATCCCAGTTAATTATGAACATTACTGCTAAAGTTGACTTCCAACTTGACAGACTATAGTGATACTGTGTTTTTAAAAGTCTGCTTCCTTTTGGTGGTTTGTGGTACATTGTTATAGCATCAGTCATATACCCTACCCCTCCTTTTTTTTGCTAGTTTTGTATTTAATCATTTACTTCTATTGTGCATTTGTTTTTTCATAATGGACACATTTTCTTAGATTTTCACATATTAAAATTTGAAATGTAATTTAAAACACACACATACACATGCACCCTTATGCCTTATTTTTTGCCATTTGCATTTGCTTCCTAATATGATCTGCAAATTTCAGGGGATGAGCTATTTTATTAATGACAGACTGGCAAACAAAATGTTTTGTGTTCGTTTCCATTCTAAACTTTGCTGAAATCAGTGACTTTATAATGCTACGCAGTAGAGAATTTGATACACATGCGTTAAATGAAGAAATGAACTGCTACATGAATAAGTCCTAAACGAGAGATGTAAGGGTAATTTCATTATTTACCTTGCTTTCTGCAGTCTTGGAAGTGGATCCTTGCACCAATCACTCTATATATCTTTGAAAGGATGCTTCGCTTTTATCGCTCCCAGCAGAAGGTTGTGATTACTAAGGTAAAGAAATATACACTTTCCATTGCAGTGATAAAAAGCTCTGTTCTACCTGAGTGCAAACTAAATTGTCGTGATGTTCATCCCGAAGGCATAAAAATGATTTTGGAGGAGGGAACATGATTAGTTTCCCCAGTGCTGAACAAAACTTTGGGAGTAGGGCTTTGGCTGGTACCACTAGCATGGGTCCACATTGGAGGGTACAAACAGGGGTATGAGCCAGAGATTTCCCACACATGTATTTTGTTTTGTCTACATGGTGATTAAAGAGATTTCCCACACATGTATTTTGTTTTGTCTACATGTTTTTTATTTAAAGGGTGAACTGGGACTAAGGGTTTGGCTCAGTGGTGGAGTACTTTTTTTTACTACACTCAAGGCCCTGGAATTGTTCTTGTGATCTAAACTAAAGAACTGGTTAGTGCCGGGTGGTGGTAGCGCACACCTTTAATCCCAGCATTTAGGAGGCAGAGGCAGGCTGATCTCTGTGAGTTCGAGACCACAAGAGCAAGTTTCCGGACAGCCTCCAAAGCCACAAAAAATCCTGTCTCTGAAAAAACAACAACAACAACAACAACAAAAACTGGTTAGCAACATCTTAAGGAACCGGATGTTTTTAAGGAACTCCTTAAAAAGGACATTTCTTGGGGACTGGGGAGATGACTGAGTGGTTAAGAGCAGTTGCTGTTCTGTTCCCAGCTCTCACATTGAGGGTCACAACTTCCTGGAATTCCTGGATCTGATGCCCTCTTCTGGCCTCTATGAGCATTGCATGCCTGTGGGGCATACACAGACAAGCAAGCACATGAATAAATAAAAGTAATAGATAAAAAACGCAATGGGATTTTATTAAGTTATAAAGAAGAATGAAATTAAGGCATTTCCAGAAAAATAGACGGAATCAGAGATTATCATGTTAAGTGAAATAAGCCTGAAATGTAAAGAAATGACAAGTTTTTTCCCATATTTGGAATATAAATTTAAATATGAGTTAAATATAAACATATAGAGAGTATGAAAGCAAAGAGAACTATGTGGGGGATGAAGAGATTGTGACATGAAAGCAGAATGATGACTGGTGGGAAGCATGGAGCAAACACGAGCAAGGTCCAATGCTATGTATGTATGTATGCATGTATGTATACACACACATATCACAGTGGTATATATATTTCATAGTGAAATCCATTATTTTGTTTGAGAACTAAAATATAATAATATTAAGGCCATTGCTGTCTTTCTCTTCAAGTATCAGAAGCCCTGACAGCACAGAATCTCAGTTCCACATTGCAACCATTGTCTGGAGCTAAGCAGTGGCTGCTCTCCCTTAGAGGGGACTTGACCTCATACTTTACAAGTCAGAAGCACTCAGGCTTGACTCGTTTACTTAAGTGTCTGCACTTGTTATGTTTGCAGTTTGCCTCTAACGATCTGTGTGCTTCGTTCACAGGTTGTCATACACGTTGGAACTGCAGATGCGAAAGCGTGGCTTTAGCATGGAAGTGGGACAGTATATATTTGTAAATTGTCCCTCAATTTCCTTCCTGGAGTGGCATCCCTTCACTCTGACCTCTGCTCCAGAGGAAGAGTTTTTCTCAATTCATATCCGAGCAGCAGGGGACTGGACAGAAAATCTCATAAGGGCATTTGAACAACAGCACTCACCGATGCCCAGGTAGGTCCTTGAGACCTTCAGAAACTCACAACAGGATGTAGATTAACCAAAAAGAAAAAAAAAAGCCTTTTTAAATCGCAAGTTGAGTAAGAGGGCATCTGATTAAAATAAGTGGGCACACTGGGTGGTGATGGCACACGCCTTTAATCCCAGCACTTGGGAGGCAGAGGCAGGCAGATCTCTGTGAGTTCGAGGCCAGCCTGGTCTACAGAGTGAGTTCCAGGACAGCCAGGGCTACACAGAGAAATCCTATCTCAAAAAAAAAAATGACAAAAACAAAAAAACAACAAAAAAGTGGGCAGTTAGCGACTGGGGAAGCAGTAGTTTTTTGGAAGCATGATTGAGATGCTAAGGACAGAGATGACACTTCATGCATCTGTTGTCTTCTCTCATTTGGTAGGATTGAGGTGGACGGTCCCTTTGGCACAGTCAGTGAGGATGTTTTCCAGTATGAAGTGGCTGTACTGGTTGGGGCAGGGATTGGGGTCACTCCCTTTGCTTCCATCTTGAAATCTATCTGGTACAAATTCCAGCGTGCAGACAACAAGCTCAAAACACAAAAGGTACATTCCCACATGTCATTTCCTCCCTGCTCTGGCCCTGTGGGGTTAAGGCCATCATAGCCTGAGGTCTTACTTACCCCTTAATAAGAGGGGCAGGAGAACATCTCTGGAGAGAGGAATGAGTCATAGCTGAGAAGGGCAGAAGTGGCTTCTAGAGGGCGCTAGCAGGGGTTGCCTAGGCAGTTGATCCAGCCTCGTCTATGCACCACAGAGAAGGGGATGCACAGTCTGCTGCAGTCCAGTACGTCCGTATCTTCTCAGTTCAGAGGCTGTAATGGGGAAAGACTCTCTGTCCGGCGGGTTCTTTCTCAGCTCTATAGCGTTCTAATCCTTCAAACTTGCTTGCTGGAGGTTGTTCCTATTAACTCGTCTTAAAAACAGCCTTTTATAATCTGGACAGATTTTTTTTGTTTGTTTTGTTTTTGAGACAAGAGTTTCTCTCTGTAGTCTTGGCTGTCCTGGAACTCTCCTGTAGACCAGGCTGGCCTCAAACTCAGAGATCTGCCTGCCTTTGCCCCCTGACTGCTGATATTAAAGGCTTGCATCACCACCACCCGGCTTTGGACAGAATGCTTTTTAAGGCCTATGATTAAAAGATTTAAAAAAAAAACTCATATTTCATGCTAAAAATAAAACAAGTCCCCCCTCAAAAATACCCATGAGCGATTGCTTCTTTTTGTCAGTGTTCTGGCTTCTACAGTAGTGATCATATGAACATGGGATTCTTTTTAATTTGTAGTTTTACTCTTATTTACTTGAACTTTTTATTTTCATTTTTAAAGTTTAAATTCAATATACATAGTATTAGTTCACAATGTCATTTCTATTAAAGTACATCATTTACTATGACCATATTCACCCACCCCTTCACCTTCTTGAGCCCCCCTCCTGTTAGTACTCCCCCTTTCCTCAAAAAGTCCTCATTCTGTTTTCATGCTGCTCATATGAGACAAAACTTACAATATCCGGCTTTCCGAGTGTGCCTTATTTTGTTTAATATAATGATTCCTTTGTAACAAAGATGACCTTTGAAGGTTTCTTCTGTAATAGAAACTAGTCAGGACTCCAGACATTCAAACTTACTCTTCCACTCTATAAATGTGATTCATTACCCTTAGACTTGGTCAATGAATATAGATATGTCTATGTGTATACATGTATGCTATCTATGTATCTTTTACACACACACACACACACACACACACACACACACACACACGTCATCACAGTGTACATTGTGAAGGATATTTTTTAAGGATATGGACTGTTTTGCTGATTTCAGATTTACTTCTACTGGATCTGCAGAGAGACAGGTGCTTTTGCCTGGTTCAACACCTTATTGAATTCCCTTGAACAAGAGATGGAGGAATTAGGCAAAATGGATTTCCTAAACTACCGTCTTTTTCTCACTGGCTGGGATAACAACATTGTGAGTTCAAATAAAACACTGATTCCAATATCAAATGTTAAGACAACTGTCTTTTTCTCACTGGCTGGGATAACAGCATTGTGAATTCAAATAAAAAACTGATTCTAAAATCAAATGTTAAGACAAAATATAGTGCATGAGAACCAAAATAAGGATTCCTTAACATTTCTTACCTGCCTCATCCTCATCCTCACATCAAAGGTTTCAAAGTGGCTGAAGGAAGAGGCAGCTGTCAACCTTGGTTTTTCTAATTTTATATTTCTCTGGTTCCAGGCTGGTCATGCAGCATTAAACTTTGACAAAACCACCGACATCCTGACAGGTCTGAAACAAAAAACCTCCTTTGGGAGACCAATGTGGGACAATGAATTTTCCAGAATAGCTGCTGCTCACCCCAAGTAAGTACTCAAGAAGGTGAAGGGGTAGGTGAATATGGTCATAGTAAATGATGTACTTTAATTGAGTCTATAGAGTTAGACTTTAAATGTACTGAGCACCAAGACTGATGATCCAAGTTCAATCCTTGAAACCCCACATGGTAGGAGAAAACAAACTCTGCCATGTTGTCCTTTGACCTCCACACTTGAACCATGGCACTCTGCCCACTTGTTGAGCTCTGACTGACCTACACACACACACACACACACACACACACACACACACACACACACACACACACATTAAATAAATAAATTTAATAGAAAACTTTCAGACTGAGGAATTTCATCTGGGCTTTTAGTAACCACAACCAAATGCCCCTGGGTTACTTTTTTTTCTTTCTGGAGCTGTCCCCCATTCTGCTTTCTCTCCACATTGCCCTCTGAGAAAGAACATTTTAAAGGACTACCTTCAGGATGTGGGGAGAAATAAATCAGGAATAAAGGCTCAAGATGAAGAGAAGTGGTTGTCCCAGAAGCCAAATGAAATATTACAGCAGCATGGCCACAAGTGTTGGAATGGCAGGTTCAAGAAGTGGTCAGTATAAGGATGAACTGAGTGTATTTTAGAGACAGGGCAACATCCAGTAGGCATGACAGAGGAATAAAACGGCCACAGCAAAAATGAACAATAAGTGTTGGCAAGCAACTGGAGAATTAGGACTCTTACTAATATTGATTATAGGAATGTGAGATTGCAAAACCTTGAGGAAACTCTTCAACAGTTCTTCAAATTGTTAGACATAGACCCATAGGACTCAGAAACCCCACTCCTTGCTATATACACAAGAGAAATGATGTGACTACACACAAAAAATTTGCACGTGCATGTGCATAGCAGCCTTAGTCACAATAGCCCAAAGTGAAAACAACCCAACTTCCTGTCACCAGATGTGTTGTATGTGGAGAATGGAATTTTAGTCATCGAAGCGCTGACACTTGCAATACCCTGGATTAATTTCGAAGACACTATGCTGAGTAAGAGAAACCAGAGGGGGTTAGAGATATGCCTCGGTGGTGAAGAGTGTTTGCTCTTCTTCCAGAGGACCTGAGTTCAGTTCCCATCACCCACAAAAAGTGGTTCACAACTTCCTTAACTCCAGCTCCAGGGAATCTGATACCCTCTTTGGGATTCTGCAGGCACATGTACAAGCACATGCCCCCCACATACACAGTAGTTTTTTGTTGTTGTTGTTGTTGTTTTTTAATGAACACTACTAGAGCTGAAAGGTCATTTATGGTATGAGCCTGTATGTAGAGAAAGTAGATCATTGATTGTGTAGGGTAGGGTGGTATGGCTGGGAGGAAAACCAGTAAGTTCTAATGTAGACAAGGGGGATGGAATTAGTGATGGTTGCCGCATAACTTTGTGGTTATACTAAAAAGCACTAATTGTTCAAAGGGTGCAGTTTATATTTATAGTACATGTATTATACCATAATTATACGTAAAAAGAGGAGAAGCCAGGCGGTGGTGGCATATTCCTTTAATCCCAGCACTCGGGAGGCAGAAGGCAGAGGCAAGTGGATCTCTGTACATTCGAGGCCAGCCTGATCTACAAAGCTACACAGAGAAACCCTGTCTCGAAAAACCAAAAAGAATAAGAAAAAAAGAGGAGAGGTGGGAGAAGTTGAAATCCACAGCATAATTAGAAAGTTTGGCTCTGGCAGAATACCACCTTCAAAGGCACAGTAACATTTTGGGTGGGGATAAGTTCACAAAAGATAGTTTATATAGTTGGCAATTCTTATGCACTTGCTGTGGGGCAGGTAGTTTTCCATTTATTTTATGTTTTTAATCCTCAGAACAACCCTGTAAGGTAGATGCTGCTTGTATTCCAATTCTCAAAAGGGAAAGAGGTTAAACAATGTGTTTATAGTGACATAGTTAGGGTGTCAGAACCGGCCAGGCAGACTGGCTCTGCCTAAAGGAGCTGAGATAGCCAACCCTTTCCCCTTTGGGACCTCCATTCAGGAAAAGCCAAATCCTTGATTATTTGGCAGAAAACAATTTAAAGACCAACCAAAGTGAAACAAGTCAGTGAGTTTAAGTATTTAAATGAGAATCATATATGACAAGGACAGTCAGTATACAACCCCAAGACATGGATGCAGGCTTCTTAAGAAAGTTCCATCTATGTACCTGTGCAATGACTATGTATAATCCTATCCTTGGGTTTGCATTCCCCAAAGGATATAATTTACATGGTTTAATGATTAAACAAGGCTCAAAATTCAGGGCAAGTTTGAAAATTGAATACAAACCAGGTTTCTTAAGTGTTGTTCTTTTGTGACAATGTTGTCAGGTGCCTTTGTGAGGTATGAGATAGGCAAGCTTATATGGGAAAACACAAGATGACAAAACACTCTAGCCCAGAGTAAGCACAGTTCATGCTTGACGTGTCTTTAGAAAACCTTGCACTATCTCTGTAGGTCCATTTTAGCAAACTAGATGTCAGGGGAAGGTCCTCTCCCCCTGCCCATTTCCCCTTAATTTCCGGTCTTTTTATCTTGTCCCTGCCCAAAGCCTAACATTTAACAACAGTATTGTACTACACCTCTTGTGTCTATGGTTCTCAATAAAATGGGGGATGGCTGAGGGCATATTTAAGACTTGGAAACAAAAAAGGTTAAGAAGAAAGTAGGAATTCAACAACTGAATTTAAGTATATAATCAGAACATATTGATTATATACAATGGGTTTCATTATATTTTTCATACTTGTATATATTTTAATATAATTACACCATTTCCTCAACTCCATGTATCCCCTTGCTCTCTCAAATTCATGGCCTCTTCCCCCTAAATATATAAACACTGCCTGTTCAGTCAGTTTACTGTTACTTTAATGTGTCTGATTTCAGGGCTGGCCACTTGGATTTTGATCACATTTACCTCCTATGACTCTTTTTCTTGTGCTCCTCCCACTCCTGCTGATTTCTGTAACTTATCCCTCTTCCACTTTCATGGGCTTTTCCCTCCCTTTTTGGTGACCTAGTGAGCTTAATTAGGGCTGCTTCCAGCATTGGCAATATACCAGTGGCTACAGGACTGAAGAAAATGGTGAAAATGCAGCCTCTTTTCCTCAGCATCCATTACTGCCAGTAGCTCCTCAGAGTGATAGGGCCGTATGAACTCCAGCAAAGGACAGAATGATGGACCCAGTTACGCAAGGTAGTTTTGTCTGTGAGGCAACAGAATTTTTGTTTGACGATGTTGGGAGTAGCAGAGGCTGTTCTCCATTTTCACTATCTTCAGCTGTCTTTGCATCCAGATAATTACTATTGCTCTATTCTTCCAGGGCTGCAGTGGGGGTTTTCTTGTGTGGCCCTAGGACTTTGGCGAAGAGCCTGCGCAAATGCTGTCAGCGATACTCAAGTCTGGATCCTAGGAAGGTTCAATTCTACTTCAACAAAGAAACTTTCTGAAATGCAGAAAGCAGTGCAGTAGCCTGTACTTTCCTTTTTCACTTTACCAACTTGCAGGTCGGCTACTAGGTAATACTGTGCCTCACAAGGACTTCATTCCCCACTTTTACAAGTTTGCATTCATCTTCATCATACTTGAGCTTTGCCAACCCAAGAGCTGCTCAAGTCACACTAGTTGCAAAGCACACCAACTGGTTTTTGTGGGGATGATTGTAAATCCTAGGAAGCCTGACTTCAGCTGAGCTTTGATAGTTGACGCTTGTTCAATTTAACCTCTGGTGTCTTGCTGGATTCCTGAACTTTGTTCCTAATCTCCCCTCCCATTTGCCCCTCACAAAAGATTTCTAAGCAGGGTGACTTTTAAAATATTTATTGAATCCAGGACAAAACAATAATCATAAATAATAAACATAAAATTACCATGATTCGCACTCCCATATCATACTCACTAGGTACATTGTTAAACACAATCTTATCCAGTGTGACCAACAGTTTACACTTTGTTTTGTCAAAAAATGAAAGGTTTTCATCTTTGCTTATTGAACAATTCTGCTTAATTTCTCTAGGCTTTCCATCTGACGTATATTAACTGTAATCAAATTTACATTATAATTAGAAGCCAACTATATGTCATTTTGTATTGTTTGAAATAACTGGGAACACCTGGCCTACATCATGGAATAAATGAATTCAACACCAAGTTCTCTACTATTTTTGTTAAAGGGGTTTGTTTATGAATGTCTGGTATAAAAAGACAATAAAGAATTTATAATTTTGACTATTCTCCAGGTCTTTCTTACTGAGGGATCACTCACTTAAATGTCATTCTTTTTCCTATCAACCAGGACAATAACCACACTGGCTCCGGGATGTTAGTTACAGTCACAAAACAGAAGCCCCAGATTCTTCAGAGGGAGAAAACTCCATATTGTGCTCAGACTGCTGAACTCAATGAATTTAGCAGATTGAATCTAGACCACCTATTTTCTTGATTAAGAGTGAACAAATTTACCTTTCCAATTATCTAAGGACCTATAGCTTGAAGGATTAGCAGGACCATTTTTCAGTCACTAGTCTGACCATAATAGACATAACGCTGATGAGTGCTTCCATGGGGATGAATTGGGATGCCACTGCTCTTGTCAATTTATTCACCTGAGTGTCTGCTAAACAACATTAAGTTTAATGAGCCTTTGGGAAATTCACACAGGATTTCCAGGATATAGTTTTTATCAGACAACTGCTTACCAAATAACTTCAGCCTCAGTAATCTTGATTGGGAATTGGTTGTGTAAAACCTAAGTTCCTAACTAGAAATACTTTCCTTATGATCTCTGTGTCTATACTGGCACTTTTTTTATAAGTCATGCCAGCTGCTAAAATCATCACATCATTGACTTATTATTTATGCAGGAGGCACAGAAGGTAATGAAAACAATGAACTGCATGCATAATTAACATCCTAGTTAAACTTGGGATAAAAAGACTAGGCAGAGTGCTTGCTTGTTGGGCCCTTCCCCCATAGGGGTCTGCTGACAAGCTTGTGACTAGCTTACCTAGCAAGTACATCCTGTTTTCTTCCTTCCTTGAAGGCCTGAGTGCAAGTTCCTGTTATCCTGTTATTCGCCCATTCAGGATTGCCTGATGGGCCTGGGAACCTGAACTTGTGATCTGGGTAGTTTTCCACCACGCCTACTGACTGGTAAATAAGCCCCCACTCTTGTTGGAATGAAGGGCATTCTCTCCCTGCAAGAAAGACCTGCTGTCTTGCCTTTATTTAAATCCTCAAGCCCCTCGCCCTATACTGTGGAAGTGTTGTAGTGCAGGTGCTACACTTGCTGTTTTGCACTTTTCTTGATTGGTTACAGTATGACATATACAGCAAATTTTCACTGTAATATAGAGAAAAAATCCCCCAATTTTACTATCTTGGCATTCCTTTGTTTGACATGTAAGCAATATTATTATGCTTTGTATGTCTAAGCAATGATTTTAATTCACCTGCCCATAATCCTAACACAGAGGGTAGGGCTCTGAGAATATAAATAAGCTTAAAATTAGTTCTAGTAAACTTTACTAGTTATAAGGCAACTCTTCAGATGTCTTCAGTCTGACCTGCTAGAAAGAAACAATGTTCTTCATTAATGCCACTATGTGGAGAACAAAGGGCAAGGTGACTTTCAGGCTAGCACAGGCCAATGGCACTAATTACCTTCCAAGTAGGTAGTACTTGGAAAAAAGCAGGCAACCGTAACAGACAATCTACTTTCCTGTGCTATATGCTTGGTCCTCTTAAAAGACTTGAAAATGTAAAGTTTTAGGGTTTTCTGTTTTACGTTCTTGGAATGAATTTAAAGCAAAGAGCTGAAAGCTTTGCAATTTTCTGAAAAACGGGTAAAATATATTTAGTTCACTTTATTTTCCTTATTAAATTTGAACATGTGGAAAACTAGTGACTTTGTAAACTTGTAAAGTTGGCTACCTAGACAGAAGAGCTTTACAACAGTCTCTCAGGTTATTGACACACACACTCATAACAGTGCCAAAACAATCCTTGTCTTAACTCTGAACCATGTATGTTCAGACCTGTTACTGACCAAACAGCACATTTTGATAACTGGATTTTCTTAAACCAAACATTACTGTGATATATTCTTTGCTTGTTGGCCTTCTGGCCATTTGACAGTTTTAAACACTTGCTTTTTCTCCCAGAAAACTCAAAGACTCTAGAAAGTTTTCAAAGGGCAAAACGTATTATCTTGCTGAATGCAAACTCAACAAAAAACAAAGCTCCTGAAAACATTTCTTCCAAGAAATACTCAAGTATCATTAAGAAGAGTAAACATTTATGCTAAAGAAAGAATAGAGCTATGGCAATATAAGATTAAAGGACAAGGCTGCTAAGGGTAGAAAATATATCTTAAGCTTTTACATTGGTGTTTAGCTTCTTAAAAGCAAAAGGGTTATGTATATCAATTTGCAGTATGTTAAAAATGTGTTCAAAGTTTAAGATCACAGAAAATATACAAACTAAGACAACCGAATGAACTGCTTTCATTTGGAGAAATGGTGATACGAGTTCTCCACCTGGCACCAATTTGAGACATCAAGGGTTAGGATGCAGAAGTCACCAATTTTCAACATTTCAATGATGTTATGGAATTGTATTTCCAGATTTGTTGCCAGGTATTTTTGAGAACCTGTAGGGAAAAGTTTGGAGAAAGCTATTACAAGTGGACTTCTCTTTCCTAAACACCAGGAAAAAACAAACTACCCCCATAAAAAATGAAAAACAAAAATGGACTAAGGGAAGGATGGATGTGGTGAAGGTCAGTCAGTGTCTGCCTCATGTCATATCTTCTCATTGTCCTTTTTAGCAGGGTTTCTCAGCCTTAGGACATTTTCAGCCACAGTGCTTTCTCATAAGGAGTGAGGAAGATGTCCTGTGCATCACCATAGGATGTTGAGGAGCATCTCTGATCTCTACCCACTGAATGACAGCTGCATACTACTCTGTACTGTTGTGACAACATAAAATGTCTATAGAAACGGACAAATATACCATAGGCAGGCAAGCCTCCTCTACTTCAAAGCTACCTTCCTTTCTCTTATGTGTACATATGTACATGAGTGCAGAATCCACAAGTCCAGGTCAACCTCAAGTGTTCATCCTGAGGATGGCCATCCACCTGGGATTTTGAGACTGGGTGTTTCATGGGGCTCACTGATTAGGTTAGGCCCCAGGATCTTCCTGTCTCCACCTCCACATCTAAGATTACCAGAGTGTGTCAATGCACCCAACTTTTCATGTGGGTTCCGGGGATTGAACTTGGGTGCTCATGCTTGTGTAGTAAGCACTTTAGGGACTGAGCTCTTTTCCAGTCCAAGAATTACTTATTCCACTTAATCTCCAATAGTGATAACTAACACTGTCTGTGATGGGAGAAAGGACCAAACTTTAAGTTTAGGATGAAAAGCCAATGGTTCAGCCACAACATGCATAAATGCCAGTAGAGTTTGTGCATATAAAATGATAGTTGTAGCTTCACATGCACTGGTATAAATTATTGAGCTGTAAAAATTGAATACAGTTTGTAGTCTAGTTCACAGTAATATACCAAGGACAACTGCCAGGCCTTGTACTACAAAGAAAAACTGTAAGATGATAGCTATCACTGAGGGAAACTGTGAAGGAGCTTTTTGTACTATTTTCCCAACTTCCTATGAAACTATGACTACTTCAAGAGGTTAAAATAAAAATCCTGTAAAATCTTGTCCTGAGGTCAGTATACAATGCAAATGAGATATAATTAAGACTATACAATGAAAGAACTTTCAGGAATACTTCTATCTTCATACTCTAAAACCAGTAATTTTATCAAACTACAGAGCATTAATTAATGCCTTCTCTGACAGAATTTTTAAATTCCTATGATTATAGTCCATATTTTTAATGAAGAAAATAGAATGTTTGAGATATACGGAAAAAAGGTAAAGTAGGATATACCAGAAGTCTAGTTATCCAACCATCTATGATCACTTCCAGTTATAGTACAGTCATTTAAAGTCTCAGTAGATGGGATGCATATTTGCAATTTGGAAGCTTTGAAAGCACTACAAATACAGACTACAGTACAGTAAGACTGCTAGGTATCCTAAATAAGTTCACTGTTATTTGGTAACATGTGCATGGGACATGTGGGGTTAAAAAGTAAAAAATCCAAATTAGACTTTCCAACAGGTATTAGGACAATATGAAATTTAAATTGCTTCTAGAGAACAGAATTGTTTATGAAATACAAAGATGGTGAAACACTTTTGAAAACAAGACAATATTTATACAGCAAGTTTGGTCACATGATTATTTATGAAGCAAGTAAAGTACGCCTGGATCCTTGTTACCTGATTGATGAACAAGAAAAATGATACTATACAGTCATCTTTAAAATGTAAACAGACAGATGTTGGCAGGGATATCTACTACTTTAAATGGCTTTTAATAGTGGAACATCAAAATATTCATTACAAAGACTAAGATATAGCTCAGCTGCTATAGCACATGCCTCGAATGCATGAATCTCAAGTTTGATCTCCAGCACCTTAAAAGCACAGTGTAATGCTGCATGCCTGTCATCTTAGCACTTGAAAAGTGGAAGCAGAAGATCAGAAGTTCAAGCTCATTTTAAGCTACATAGGGAGTTCAAGGCTAGCCTGGGCTATATGAGATCTGGACACAGACAGACAGATACACACAACACAACAAAACAAAAACTAGAAGCCTAAAGAGTAACATTTTATTGAAATACTTTGCATTTCCTCCATTTTGAAGGAATAGTTCGTAATAAAACAACTAATCATGGAATGATACACACCAAACTTTTTTTGATAGGTTGTTCTGTTGGGGAAATGAGATTCAGGAAGCAGGGTCTTCCCTTTTCCCTACCTACCTATCACTTACATGTATGTATTCTGGGTGCGCACTGCTACCGTGTAAAGGTCAGAGGAAAGAGTGAGGGGAGTTGGTTTTCTTTTCTAGCATGTGAGTTCTGCAGATCAAACTCAGTTCAGCAGGATTGGCAACGAGTACCTTTACCTCCTGAGCTATCTTGCTGGCCCTACTTTTAATTTTCTACATTCCTATGTCTTATTAATTTTGGGAAACTGACTCTCTATTAATTTCATCATTAGAAAAGGCTGAAAATAATTCAACAACTGAACAAATGTTCTACAGCCTTACCCTATCCACAGAGGTGCTGATTACTGAAGGATAAAGAGAACCTAGTGAAAACTGGGGGCCTCTGAGAACATTATGTTGTTAAAGGTTGAAGTTATATACTTCAAATATAGAAGGACCTAGTTTTCCGCCCAGGTACCATTCAGTCAGCTCACCTTTCAAGGTGCCCCAGTGGATTTCTGTATCTGTTCCTTTAAGATTAGGATACTCTGCCTTTGCTCAGGAGGCAGCATGGCAATCTGGTCTGCGGTGAGTTGAAGGACCTGCATAATCAAAGCAGCCTGTGCAGAGGAAAAGAAAGGTTGTGAGTTTCATTGATGAGTCAGAAAATCAAATAAAACAAAAACACCACCAGCTTGTGTCCAAAAAGCTATTGTCATGAGATACAAAGCTCTCTCTCTCTCTCTCTTTCACACACACACACACACACACACACACACACACACACACTTACTTCAAACTGTAAGCCAGAAAGAAAAAGAAAATGTGAGAAAAGGCATAATGAAGCACAAGAATAAATGAAAACACCTAAGATTAGATGATGCCTCAGGAACTCAAAAGTTCCTGAACACTAAGATGGTATCTGTGAGCCCTGGGAACTCTTAGGTTTTTAGCCGTTTTGACTTTCCCCTTTTCACAAGTTTAAACCTTCCCATCAGACACAAGATCCCAACAAGAGCCAAGTATAACAACAGAAACATATACTTGGGGTGAATCTGCCATTGTTTTTTTTCTAAGTATCAAAAATGGGAGGCAGAAGGAGCTTGGATTTTTATGTCAGTTTGGCTTGCATAGAAAAAAAAGACATTTATAGGTGAGTCTGAAATGTAGAATAAGTTGCCAATTATATATTCACTTAAAAACTGTAGGTTCAGATCCCCAAAATGCTCAGCCAAGATCATTAGTGAGTTGTAAGTTAGGGTAAACATCACCTCCAAAGGGACTCTGAAGACCCAAGATATTCATGGTAACTGTGAGAAGATCAGAAAGACTAGATTTGTGCAGAGGGAGGCAGTCAGGCAGTGTTGCTTACTTTCTCATGGTCCTGGGGTGTGACTTGGCTCTGTCCAGGACTAAAGCCACCAGGCTGGCTTCCACCTTGCATGCTCGCTCCCTGCATACCTGCTCCCTGCATGACTGGGACCTATAGGTACAAAGAAAGGAGAGAGCATACAGAATTCACGATGTTCACAGAACCTCAGTACACTACCAATCTTGACATGGGTAAGAGTAAAAAGAGAATTAATGACCTAAATATCAGCTTATACTGTTAGCAAAGCAGAAGGCAGTGTTTATCCAAAGATCCACTAGCATACACATCCTTGCATATAACAGGTCGATTATCAACAAATAATACACAGTACAGGAAGGGGGCATTAAATTATCAAAATAAGCATAGGGAAAACTATGAGCACTGGAGAAATTAATGCTCAGAGTAAACATAAGTAATGTCAATAGACTTTACACAACTGAATACTGCTTTGCTGGGGAAGCAACGTTCACAAGACTACTGCCTACCTCTAGTTCAGGTAAACATTGGTAATGATTCTCAAAGGACTCTATCCCACAAAACACATGGTCAGTGTCAGAGAGGCAGAAAGGAGATAGGCAGGCATCTGGGGAAAAGATGGTATTAGCCCAACATTTGCTCTCTAGACATTTCTTAAAACAAAAATAAAAACTCTGAATATACCAACAGTGGTATGAACTTCTTAAGCTTGTTTTATGTGTATAGTTTTTTGCCTGCATGTATATCTGTGCACCACATACATGCCAAGTGCCCATGGAAGCCAGAAGAAAGTGCTGGATTCACTGGAACCGGAGTTACAGATGGTTATGATCTAACATATGGGTGCTAAGATACAAAACCAGGTTCTATGCAGTAATTAGTGTTCTTAACCACAGAACTCTCTCTCCAGCCCTTGGGTCTTTTTAGAGCTCTCTATTGAGAGTATATAACAACTGCTTCCTGCTTAATACACACCAAGAAATATTACTCAAGTTAGAACAAAATGCAGCTATAGCATATTTATTGGTATTTAGAGTGGTTAGTGATTCCAATCCTTTGGAAGACAACCAGAACCCAAGGAAAATGCCTCTATGCATCTATTATATATAATTATTTGTGCTCTACACCTGTGTGATACTCACACTCAGGATCTTACCCAGAGTTTAGATACTTTTATTGCAAACAACTTTTTAACAAACTTGTTACTTGATTTCCCAGATTACAACCATGGAAGTATAGAAGAAATACAGAGAAACACCTGTCAGGAATAGATGATGTGGTAACAATGTGAAGAACCATCAGCAAAGGGGCAGATACCCCACAGGATAAAACTACGTTTTACATTATAACATAAAATAATAATGGATCTATTTCCATGTTGATTTTTAGTAATAAAATGATTTTGCCTGAGTCTTAAAAATCTGTCTGAGGCTAAATGGACAGTTTTGGATTAATGGCACTAGCAGAGATTTCAAGATTGTCAAATACTGACTGTCTCATGTGGTTGTCAGTGACCACTCTTACGAAGATATATAATGAAAAGGAGCCAGATGAGCAGGGAAAAATAAAAAAGAAACATGTAGTTTGAGGAGAAAAAGAAGTATAGTGGAGCTAAGTCCAGTGCTCAAGGAGATAAAAAGTTTAAAGAAAAGCCTGATACTTATGGGAATAAAGAGAGTGGTGAGCTCACTATGGCTGCTACTCCCCAGGGGCTACTCCCATTGAGTCTTACCTGTGTTAAGTCCTGGTCACTACCAAGATGAGAACCAGAAACTCTGGGTGGCAATAAACGTGGGATTTACTCCTGACCATCCAACTCATAAGAGGCCTGAATCTGCTCTGATTATCAAGTTGTGGCATGTGAGCAAATGGTGCCAGAATCCTGTCCCCCTTCTCCTCAAGTCTGACGTCTCCCCGGTACATGGCAGAAATATGCTATTTTTATACAGTGGGACAGACTCAAGGTTCTGGAAATTATTGGACCATATCCAGATTGGCGACATAGAGCAACTGGTCCTGTAGCTGGAGTTCAGCAATGGTCTTGACAGCCCTTCAGGCCCCTGCCCCTTGCACCCTCAGTGAAGATTTTATGCATCTACTTCTCTGCTTGTTCCACAAGTTTCCAGTCTAGCAGTCTCTCCTGCTTGGCTCAGCCTGAACTTCAGATGATCTGCTTCTGTGAGCCTGGCCTGTCTGTGTCCTGAGCCTTCTCCCTTCCTGGGTACAGCTGTGGCTTTCTTGCCTCCTTTGTGCCTCTGAGGCTGACCTCACAGATTGTCCTTCTAAAGACCCCTCCGTCCCTTCGAACCCCTCTCTTGGGCTCCCAGTGCAGCATGCCCCATAGGTGGCTCTGATCTGGAGCTGCCTATGGAGCAGGTATGGATGGGGACTCCATGCCCTGTAGGTCTCTGAGCTACCAATGCTGGTTAGAAGTTGACCTGTTGCTGGGCAGACGACTCTGTGCTCAGTGGCTTGAAGGCACAATGGGATGTGTACAGGGAGCATCTGGTATACTTCTCCCCCATGTTCAGTACTTGGCTCCTAGAAGTGATGCTGACCCTAATCCCACCCCAAACTTGTTTTTAACTTCCTGCTTTTATTTTTTTTTAAAGGGAGTGGTGATGTCAGGGTAAGACTCGACTCACCCAGCTAAGCCTACTTATGAAAAACAATTCAAAGCAAAGCTTAAGCAGTAAAGGAAACCATCAACAACAAAAAGCTGATGCAAATGTAAATGAACAAGGATGCCTAATTCCAGCCCCATCAAGCAGCAGAACTTGGCAGCTTTGGTCACAAAGGTTCCAGCTTTAGAGTCAATTATACAAAAGGGGTTGTGGAATCTCCCTCCAAGGGGAAGGAAAGGTGCTGAGGCCAGGTATGTGTCAAGGGTGTTCTTGTATGGAGGCATTATGTGAAACTGTGAAGGTAAAGCCTGGATTTCATTGGAGACTCTAAGATGTTGGAGATGCCAGAGTCGTGGGATATTGCCAAGAAAAGCTGCAGATTTGGGTGGGGATCCAGCCCAACAGAGAAGAGTGTTTCGGTCAACAAAGCAGAAAGGAAATGGGAGAGCTTATGATGTCTTTGACATCAGATATGGAGATGCAGAATTTGGGAGTTTGCCCTGTTGATTTTCAGTCTTTCTTTGGTCCAATATTTTTGTTTTTTTAATTTTTTATTTGAATTAGAAAGATTATTTTACATGTCAATCCCAGGTCCAGTAATATGGTCCCTTTTGAAATGGTATTGTATATTCTGTGTCAGTGTATGCTGGGAGTATGTGATTGACGTATATCTTTTTATTTTATGGGTTCACAATTAAGAGATTGCCATGAGTCTCAAGATGAGACTTTGAACAGTGTTAAGACTGTGATAGACTATGGGGACTTTTGAAGTTGGACTGAGTGAATTTTTGCATTATGACATAGCTATGAGCCTATGGGAGCCAGGGAGTCAAATGTGGTGGTATGAGTAAAAATGGTCTCCATAGGCTCCTATGGTTGAATGCTTATGTACTAGGGAGTGGCACTATTTCAAAAGGATTAGGAAGTGTGGCCTTGTTGGAGGAATTGGGTCACTGGGGTTGGCCTTTGAGGTTTCAAAAGCCCATTCCAAGTCCACTATCTCCCCTTTTGCCTATGGATCAAGATGTAGTTCTCACCTACTTCTCCAGCACCATGTATTCCATGCTTGCTGCCATAATTCCCACCATGATAATAGAACTAAGCCTCTGAAACTGTAAGCAAACATCAATTAAATGTTTTCTCTTATAAGAGTTGCCATTGTCAATTTCAGGACATAGGGGAGAGGGAGCTGCCAGAATGACAGGAGAAGGGAGGGGAGAGGAGGAAATGGAGGAGCAGAAATATTGAGTTGGGGGAAGAATAGAGGACAGCAGGGGGAGAGATACAATATCAGAGGGTCCATTATAGGTCCGAGGAGACATCTGGCACTAGGGAGATTTCCAGAGACCTACAAGGATGACACCAACTGACAAGCTAGGCAATGCTGGAGAGGATAACCTAAACACCCTTCCCCTATAATGAGACTGATGACTACTTTCTATGTCATCCTAGAGCCCTCATCCAGTGGCTGATAGAAGCAGAGGCAGACATCCACAGATATATACTGAACTCTGGAGCTTAGTTGCAGAGAGGGAGGAATGAAGATCAAAGGGGTCGGTACCAGGCTGGGGAAGCCCACAGAAACAGCTGGCCTGAACAAGGGGGATCACATGGACCCCAGACTGCTGTCTGGGATGCCAGTACAGGACTGATGCAGACCCCTGAACATGGATGTCAATGAGGAGACCTCTGCACTTTAGGGGGCCCCTGGTAGTGGATTATTATCTTTCCCTGGTGTAAGAAGGGACTTTGAGAGCCCATCCCAAGTGAAGGGATGCACTCTTGGCCTAGACACATGGGGGAGGGCCTAGGCCCGGCCCAGGATGATGTGGTGGACTCTGAGGAGCCCCTGTAGAGGGCCCTACCCTGCTTGGGGAGTGAAGGGTGGATGAGGTGGAGGGTAGGTCAGGGGTGGGGGGAGAGGTGGGGGAGGTGAGGGAGAGGAAGGGATTGACATGTGAAGCAAGCTTGTTCCTAATTTGAATAAAAAAAAGAAAGAAAAAAAGAGTTGCCATTGTCATCATGTCTCTTCACAGCAACAGTAACTAAGACACCTGGAATACTCACTCACATGCATCAGTTCTTTTCTAAGACACTGGGTACATTAAGCAATGGCACATAGAGGATGCTGAAATAATACCACTGTTCTGTTTGTATTAATGCTTAGTCCAGGGACATGTGTCAACCTTAATGATCTATTATGGATATGAACCACCTCTGGGCACAGTCACTTAGGAATTTACTAATACTGAATAATAGCAATCTGAGAGAGTGTAGTATGAAAAAACAAAACTAACTGGCCAGCTGAAGTCCCAAGAATACTTGTATTAGGCAGATAAGTACTAGTAAGACGGGTCATAAATCTTCGTTGGCCTAAGACAGTCCCAGTTTATGCGTTTGTCTCAGAGTAAATTATTAACAACACTTTCATTCATGAATGCATCCTTCTTTGTATGAAAAATTATATAGCTACCCTAGTAACAACAAGCCTTTAGCTACAAGCTTCTAACTGCATGGAGTGCAGTTAAATTTAAAATCTGATTAAAGATGATATATAAAGGCCATATTGAGCTAAAAAAACAAAGATCATAAAAAGAACAAAGGTTAAAAGATACACTAAAAATATCAGATAAGCCAGATGTGGTGGTGCATGCCTTCACCTCCAGTACTACTGAGACAGAGGCAGGCAAATATTAGTGAGTTCAAGGCTAGTCAGGTATATATAGAGTTCCAGGTTAGCCAGGGCTACATGAAGAGACTCTGTCTCAAAAAAATTCTAATAAAGGCAACTATCATGAGCGGTATAGAAGAGGAAAAACGTTTCTAATATAAAGCTTTTATAGATAACTGGGATGTATTATTTATATATTTATTGAATATATTCCTAAAAATGTAAAAAAGTATCAATTATAAGTTCTTATTTTCTCTACCTTGGATCTCATTAGCTTTATAGACTTTTAATAAAAACTATATTGAACTGGGGGTATAGCTTGGTGGTAGATTATTTCGCATTTGTAGTTCTTGGTTGAGTCTTAGCATCATAAAACCAAATTTAAAAAAACCCAAAGCAACAACAAAAAACCCTAGCATTAGGAAGTAATGAATTCATGCACTAGCAGAGAAAAAGGAAGCCGTAATTTTTAATGTCTTTGTCCACAGAATGGTCAGCAATAAGCATGGTGTATAATTACTTGATGTCTCTCCTCAGCTAGTATGACAAGATTTTGCTATTCGTACTACTAAAGCCCTAGTGTTATGCTTGGTATTTAAGTTAAGTATTGAAAGGATGTTTAAAATCCATGTGTTATGAGGCTGTTGACCATAGAGGGTGCAACAAAAAACAACCCCCCATTTTTTAAAAGCAAAAGTTCAAATAAACAGAAAATAATTTTCTTCTATATATACCAAGAAAAGTCACAATTTTGTCTCAAATTAAAGAGACTCAGGCAAACATCCACACACAGAGACACATATACACATGCAAATAAGACACAGTAGCAGAATGTTCCGTCATGTTTTTCTTTAGTTAGGTGAATTTGGCTAAGCCACTGGATTTTTATGCCTTCAGCTTACAAACCTATAAAATGAGAGAACTGGATGCAGAAATGTTGTATTCTAGTTCTGCTCTCTCTCTCTCTCTCTCTCTCTCTCTCTCTCTCTCTCTCTCTCTCTCTCTCTCTCCCTTTTTCTCTCCCAACCTCCCAATAAATTGGAAGACAGAAATACATGAAAATGGGAAAAGAGAAATGGAAAAATGAAGGCATCAACATATAGAAACTTGGGAAGATACACACATTCCATTTCCCCACAAGCAATTGCAGATGATAATTGACAAGGTGACTACTACAAATCATCCCATACAGCTCACAGCTGGAGTGAGACAAGTGAAGGAGACAGAAGAGACAGACTGCAGTTCCAGAATTATATGCAGATTGCCATTCCTATGCCACTGTTCATTTAGATATTGTGATGACAATAAATCCACACAGGTCTCTACCACCCTGAGATAATCTCAGGATTGCTCACTGTAATCATTTGGGGGAGGTTTTTCAAATGGCCTGAGATCTGCACAGGTTGATTTTTTTGGTGGGGGTCTTTGTACATGATGTTGGTTTGTATATCCAATGTACATTACTCTCTGACCTGTCCATTTTCATTTTCAGAGGTTTTTCTGGATGAAATAGCTACTATAATTGTGGAACAAGGTTTTTTTTGTTGTTGTTGTTGGATTAGAGGCTAAGACACCCTTCTCCTAAGGGATATGAGAAAGCAAAAGGAGAACCTAGTCTCTCCTTTCTAACAAGCAGATTCATTCAAGTCAGAAGATAATAAAAATCAGGCACAGTAAGCAATTCCCTATTACATTAGCATTTTATGTAGATGCTGCAAGTATTACCTGTCTTGATCCCTGGGGAACGACAGCCCCCATGTTCATTGGATTGGGACCTTGGATTCCACTAGGCAGAGGTCCTCTAGGTCCAGGTACTGGGCCTCTGGTATCCATAGCACGGGCCTCCATAGCACGAGCTTCCATGGCACGGGCCTCCAGTCCTCTGGCATCCAATCCTCTGGCCTCCATGGCTCTGGCCTCCATCCCTCGTGCATCTAATCCTCGGGGATCTCTTCCACCTAGAAAGTTGTAAGAAAGTGTGGAGCTACCAATTTCTAGTCACATCTCTTCTTACCTATGAGACGGTTTCCTTTTTACTTTATCACATTTGTAGGTAAATCATAAAAATTCTTGCCAAGACTTCTGTCCCATATTAGAACTGAAGAGAGCCAGGTTCTTCATCAACCCATGGCTATTAATTGGAGTTGTGATGCAGTTTCCTCTTACCTCTAGCATCCATGGGTGGACCCCTCTGATCCAGCATGGGTCCTCTTGGCTCTGCCATTAAAGGTCTGGGCTCAGCTAATGGACCTCCCCTCATGTCATGTGGGGGTGGTCCACGGCCTTCATGGCCAGGAACATGGTGCATGGGTGGGCCCTGATGAGGTGGTGGTGGTGGTCCCAAGTAAGCTCTAGAGATGGAGAAAGATGCACATTTTAAAGCATAATGTACCAACATTGAAATGTCAATCAGATCATTATGCAAACATCCAACAGAAAACTGATAGAAACATCAGTGAATAAATGGTAATAAGAAAGTAACATCACACAGATCAAAGGAAAGCTATAGAATGTAAATTTGTGTATTCTAAAATCTTATTGGCCAGGACATTCAAAATTATGGAAGAATTGATGGATACTTATCATATGTATGATGACTGTACAGTATAATACTTAGCAATGCAGGTTCTGGATTCAGATGGAATGGTTAAAATCTAGGTCTTACCATTTATTAGTTGTGTGATCTGAGTCACTAACTTAACCTCTATATGTCTTAGTTTCTTTACCTGTAAAACAGGACTAATAATATTCATTTCTAAGGTTATATGGCTTTATCTGTCTCTCTTTGTGGAGCTGAGGATTGAAACTAGGGCCTTGGTAATATTAGTCAAGTGCTCTACCACTAGTGTTACATCCCCAGATTAAGGCAAATTTAATGAGGTGATTTAAGATAAGTACTTAGAGGAAAGCCAGAGGTATAATCCCCACCAACAACAACTATTGTCATTAAAGTACCAATTATCAGCCAGGAGAACACTCCTCCATTGCTGGTGCGAGTGCAAACTTGTACAGCCCCTTTGGAAATCAATATGGCAGTTTCTCAGAAAATTGGGAATCAATCTACGTCAAGACCCAGCAATACTACTCTTGGGCACATACCCAAAAGAAAGATGCTCAATCATACCACAAGGACATCTGTTCAACAATATTCATAGCAGCATTATTAGTAATAGCCAGAACCTGGAAACCACCTAGATGCCCATCAACCGAAGAATGGACAAAGAAAATATGGTACATCAACAGATTTAACTCAGCTGTAAAAAACAATGACATATTGAAATTTTCAGGCAAATGGATGGAAGTAGAAAAAACCATCCTGAGTGAGGTAACCTAAAACTCAGAAAGACAAACGTGGTGTGTATTCACTCATAAGTAAGTATTAGACGTATAGCAAAGGATAACCAGACTATAAACCACAGCCCCAGAGAAGCTAGGTAACAAGGAGGAGCCTAGGAGGGATGCATGGATTGCCCTGGGAAGGGAAATCAGATGAGATCTCCTGGGTAAACTGAGGGGGACAGGGAAAGGGAACAGGATGGTCAACGGGAGAGGTGGGGATGGAGTGGAAGAGCAATGAAAGAGAAGTCTTGATGCTAGGGGCATTTCAGGGCTAAGGAGAAACCTGGTGCTAGGGAAACTCCCAGGAATCCACAAGGATGACCTTACTAAGATTCCTAGCAATAGTGGAGAGGGTGCCTGAACTGGTCTTCCCCTGTAATCAAACTGGTAAATACCCCAACTGTCATCATAGATGCAGAGATCCACAACCAAGCACCTGGCTGAGCTCCAGGAATCCAGTTGAAGAGAGGGAGGAGGGAATATATGAGCAAGGGAGGTCAACATTATGATGGAGAAATCTACAGAGACAGCTAAACCAAGCTTGTTGGAACTCATGAACTCTAGACTGACAACCGTGGAGACTCCATGGGACCGAACTAGGCCCTTCATATGTGGAAGACAGTTGTAAAGTTTAGACTATCTAAGGGGTCCCTGGCAGTAGAACCAGGATCTATCCCTGCTACATGCATGAGCTAGCTTATTGGAACCCATTCCCTATGGAGGGATGCCATGCTCAGCCTTAATGCATCGGAGAGAGGCTTGGTCCTGCCCCAACTTAATGTGCCATACTTTGTCAACTTCCCATGGGAGCCCTCACCTATGAGGAGGAGTTGAAGGGGAGGGGTGGGGGGGTAAGGAGAGGCAGGAGGATGGGTGGGAGGCAGAACTGATGGTGGAAAGTAAAATGAAACTTAAAAAAAATAAATTATAAAAAATAGAACCATTATGTCATGTTTTCCTTGTTTAGGTATAGTATACATTACTAGAATTTTCAATTTCTGAAAATACAGTAGTCATAGTTGGCTCAAAGTAATCTTAACTACACAATTATGCTTTAGGAAAAGTGATTAATCTTAGACAGTGGCTACAAAAACTTATTTATCTTTTGAAGTAGGCAAACAGGTCCAACTGTTCCAGAAAGAGTTTGTTTTCAATGTAAGGAAAATTTCCAACTTCCCAAGCTGTTTTCTTCTACATCAGTACTTACCTAGGCTCTACCTCTCCAGTTACAGTCATTAAAGTGCCTCCCCGTGGGTCATTGGGGGCATCTCCTAAGAGACCACGAGGAGTTGGGACGTTGGCAGGCAAGGCTCCCCGCTGCATAGCTGCTCTGGGGTCTTGCATTGGCACTGACAGGGAAACAAACAAGGAGTTACTGCTGTGAAAGACACATAAGGAAACAAGAAATGACTCTATACCACTGACAACATAATTCAGACACCTTAGAGTGGGTAAAACCTCACCACAGCAGAATCCTCTTGCAGCTTGAGAACAGAAGCAGGGTATAGGCAGAATCTGTGCCATGTCAGAGGTATGGATGGAATTCTATAAAGAGCAAACTGGGGAGCAACCTGCCAAGGACTAGCACTGTCACCTCAAGAAACTTATAATCCTGGTTTTCCTTCTCATCAATCTTAGTTTAAGGAGCAGAGTCACAAAAGAGAGGCAGGATCTTGGCATATGAACACTGCCATGGCTCTGCAAGAACCTTACAGCTATTTCATCCAAGCCTCCTGACACCAGTAGGGAGGGAATAAAGCCTCGGACACATGCCCATACCATCCATGTTCTCTGCCCTGTGTGAAGAGGTCAATCTTAGGCTTGTGGCCTCGAGAAAAAATAAAAATAAAAACCAAAAAATTCCCCAAACACTACCCATTGGGGGTTCTGAACATGATGAATGCCAAGCAGCTCTTTTCCTCTCAAAAGTCCCCACCCTGAACACCACAAGCAAAAGGAAACCTGCAGATACAATGGGTACCTTGAACTCGCTCAATTGATGCAGGCCCGGCGGGTCCCACGGGCGAGTCTTGTAGGGTTCCTTAGGTTAGCAGTAAGTTCAAAAGGAGAAACAGCAGACACTTAAAACAGCTTGAACACATACAGGAACATACACATATGGAGACTGGAGTTTTGCACATGTCAGTAAGAAGGCAAGAGTTTGTTAGTTTGCCCCAGCTTCCAAAACTTCCTTAACTACAGGAGGCCTTCACTTATCCAACTGTTCTGCTCTGACCAGGCATCTTTCTTAAGGGAAACCTATGGGCTGGTTTGCTTAGGCAAGAATAACCAGCAATTCTGGACTCTCCTTTCTGTTACTACAGCATTTTTATGTCTTCCTGTACATTAAAAAAGAAATAAGCCAGGCATTGGTGGCACACACCTTTAATCCCAGCACTCAAGAGGCAGAGGCAGGCGGTTCTCTGTGGGTTCGAAGCCAGCCTGGGGTCTACAGAGCTTGTTCCAGGACAGCCTCCAAAGCCACAGAGAAACCCTGTCTCAAAAAGCCAGATAAAAAAGAAAAGGAAGAAAGAAAAGAAAAAAAGAAAGAAAATACAGAAAACTGTATTTTCAGAAGCAAAACATGAAAGAAATTCCAATGAACATTACATGAGATTTATCACAGAGAGGCCGTAACATAAGTGGGGCAATACTAATTTTGTTTTATTTTTAAGTCTAAAAGTTTGTCAAAAGTATCAAATAGATAAATGCAGCCGATGAACTTTAGGTGAGGAAAGAGAATATCACCTGAATGAAACAGCCTCCTACAGCAAGTCTATGATTATAAAAAAGCATGACAAAGATTAATGAGCTGACAAGGTAACCAACATTAAACAAAGGAGGTGGGAAAGCAGGAAAACAGGAAGTACTGTCTTGACCCCACGACCCCCCCTCATGGAAGGCCTCACCCTCCCTGGGGAGCAGAAAGGGGATGAGATAGGTAGGGTGTTAGTGGGGGGCAGGGGAGTGGGGGAGGGAGAGGGAACTGGGATTGACATGTAAAAGCTTGTTTCTAATTTAAAGAAAAAAATGGGAAAAAAAGTACTGTCTCAAAACATCTCCTGTTACCACTACAAATTCGCAAACTAAACAACGATTCCAGGCAAAGGAAGACAAATCTGGTCACAAATGAAAACATTCTTGTTTCCTATGCTGGGTACTGAAGGAAATTATTTTTTTAAGTTATTTATTATGTATATAGTGGTCTTCCTACATGTATGTTATGCCTGCACGCCAGAAGAGGGCACCAGATCTCATTACAGATGGCTGTGAGCCACCATGTGGTTGCTGGGAATTGAACTCAGGACCTCTAGAAAAGCAGCCAGTGCTCTTAACCTCTGAGCCATCTCTCTAGCCCAGGAAATTATTTTTTAAAACTCACCTCACTTTAATCTTTGCGTTAAGAGATCCTTGAAATACTTTCAAAATGTGAGTCAATTCCTTTTGCGAATTTTTACCAGAAAGACAGGGCTAAACTACAATAGGAAGAAAGATGTCTCATAGAAGTATGTGTTAAACAGCTGAGACTAATGGCCTAGGAAGGAGGAGAGTTTTTAACAAAGCCTAAGCCCTTCTCACTACTGCAAAGATAGTTTGGGGTAGATACACCATGTACCGACAGTAATGGGATGGGTGTACACAGCAGCACAAAAGCATGAGATATTTTGGAGGGAAGATGAGATATTTGGTCAGAAGTTTGTCTTGTTGCCATTCATCTGATGAGATGAGTTTAGACTCATCATTTCAATCACCAATCCCTGTGTATACACCATGGGTCTTTATCTTAAAATATTGTGTTTTTGAAGTAGGTTTCTCTTATAGGGAATCAGCTAAGAAGGAAAATATTAAGTCCCCCTGTTCTTGTTCAAAGCAATCTATTCCCAACACAGAAACCTATAGAGTAAGTACACTATTTTGAAAATTCTGAAATTAACACTGGCAGTATAAAATGATGAGAAGAGGACAGATTTTGTTATTACTACTTTTGTTGTTTGGTTTCTCTGTGTAACCCTAGCTTTCCTGGCACTCGCTTTGTAGACCAGGTTGGCCTTGAACTCACAAAGATCTGCCTGCCTCTGCCTCCTGAGTGCTGTGATTAAAGGTATATACCACCACCATCCAGCAAGGGCAGATTTTGGATTCAGAGATTTTAATCTTTTTTTTATTTATTGATTATGTATACAACATTCTGCTTCCATGTATATCTGCACACCAGAAGAGGGCACCAGATCTCATTATAGATGGTTGTGAGCCACCATGTGGTTGCTGGGAAATGAATTCAGGACCTCTGGAAGAGCAGTCAGTGCTCTTAACCTCTGAGCCATCTCTCCAGCCCCGAGATTTTAATCTTTTAGTCAGAAGAGAAGAGCACCAGATTCAGGCCACAATCCTCAGATGTGAGTATATATATACTTACCACATCCCAATAAGAAACTTCAAACTCCTGTGCTTCCGTTTTTTTACCTGTAAAACTGAGGCACTGCCAACTAACTCACAAGATTGTCTACAGAAACAGAAGTTACTATTTACAGTATATATTCAGTTTCCTGTTTTCTATTGTCTCTTGTTTTTAATTTTTATTTTATTTTAATTTTTTTGGTTTTTTCGAGACAGGGCTTCTCTGTGTAGCTTTGGAGCCTATCCTGGCACTGGCTCTGGAGACCAGGCTGGCCTTGAACTCACAGAGATCTGCCTGCCTCTGCCTCCCAAGTGCTGGGATTAAAGGTGTGTGCCACCAACGCCCGGCTTGTCTCTTGTTTTTAACTCAACTACTGAACTTTCTTTTTCCTTTAGACTCCAATAATATGAAGAAAGAATGCAAAGATTCTGGAAGGGCTACTACTCTTATACCGTCCTTTTGCCACAGTACAGACAACACTTTGCAACTATGCTTTATAGACCTCTGCTTTGCTCCCAGTTTGCTACAGGGTTTACACCTTAACATCTACAGACCTGGTCTTATATTATATTCTCACTATTATAACTTCTTCCAAAGCCAACAGCTATTCACAGATTGAGAATACACAAGTGGAGTTGTTAAGACTATCGGAAAACAAAGGATGCATTTGCCATATCACCAATTGTTGTAGAGCTAGGTTCTGAATATCCCCAAATCTGGACCAATACCAGTTTTGGTGACCATGGAAATATTCTACATCTGCAATATCCAGTGTGGTCTTCATTAGCACATATGGCTACTAAGCACTCGGAATGCAATTTAATTGTGCCCAGGAAATAAGAATGTTAGGTGTTACTTAATTTGAACTTAATTTTAATAAACTTTAAATTGCCACTGGTGGTAAGTGGCTAACACATTAGACAGTGCAGATATGGAGTATTTCCATGTTCACTATATTTTCAACAGAGATATTTAATATTTACCTTGCCCTCGTTCCATTGGCACTGGTCCACCTCCTTGCATTCCAACTTGGGCTTGCATGACTCCTAGAAAATAAAGGACAGGGAAAAACATAAATTGGGCCTGTAGGAAAAAAAAAAAAAAAACTACTGTGGCTGAGTTTACAAATGTCATCATTTTTCCCCACAAGGAGAAACTTATGATGGAAACTTATGTTCACCATTCAACGATTCAGTGAAACAGAAGATGAAGTATGTCACACTTTAGTGACAAGTGAGTTCAGAGGAATATTTCATGTCAATTACCAAAATTGGCAGAACGCCCTTTAGTACAAAAAAAAAGTCTCTTATCCACAAGCCTCCTTTCATGAGAGGCAGTATCACTCTTAGGGTATTTTATAATGTGTGGGTATATTGTTTATTTATGACAAGGCTTTTGGGGAACACAACCCTGAATGAGAGAGATGGTGCCAGGGATACCCGGTGACCTACAAAGTATGAGACATTCCCACAGAATCAAGACTGATCTTGTGTCTGAAAAAGCTCTCAAATGATTCAATGAACATTCATACAAAGGAAAAGCTGCCCTTGCCATCTCAACCTAGAATCTAAGTCTGTTTTATTTGTAAACACAAAAGTTATATATGCTGTTTTAGTATGCACACACAGACTTTTCTAGAAATGCATTTACTGAGTAAATTATGGAGACTGCAATTTGTTTTAAGAATTTTAGTATGATTTTTCACTTAGGAAAACTACATCAATTATCCTGTGGTATTTGAATTACCAAAGCAAATATCACTGTAACTGTCTACCTTTTTAGTTTTTACATTCACAGAACAGATGGAAACATCTATTACATTTTGTTTTCTAACTCTACCTGGACATTTACATACTAATTTTTAAATCATGAATTAATTTTATTTTTTGTTTGCATTGTAATTAGAGCAGTATATTAATTTTTGAAGTCATGTTACAAAGGCTGTATCATCTGTACCCTACATTTCAGGACAGTAAAGCCACTGAAAAATATTACAAAAAGGGGATAGTGTATTTAGCGGGGTTAAGAACTTATGGTCTACACTAACCAGATGGTGTGTGATGACTGACTACTATATAAAGAATAATTACACACCACACATCCTTGTTTGGTCCCTTCCACATAACAATAATTCTCTTTCCTCAAAGGAGCAAGATATGATGTTGAGTAAGGACAAAAGGAAAGCTGATTTGTTTGCAGTTCATTAATACTTCCTTAAAATAGAAAGTACACATCATTTTGTCCCTATTTCATTGAACATGCTAAGCACTAAAAAATGTTATGGATTAAGTACCCAGAGAACTGGGTGCTAGCCTAGTTCTTGCTACTAAGGAACTGTGACTCTGAACAAGTGACTCAATAATTAAGCACTATATTCCCCGCTTTCTTATCTGTAAAACAAAAATGTTGTTCCTAATAGTAGTCCTAAGAAGGCTGTCCCCAGCCAGACATGCCATATCAGTATCAACAAGAAAAATGCAAAAACTGCAAATTCTCAGGTTCTGCACCTCAGATTTATTAAATCATAGTTTGATAGCAGAAAACATCAATCTGCATTTTATAGGCCCTTCAGGTGATTCTAACACACAAAGTCTGAAACCACTGATTTAAATGATTTCAACACTTCCAGCCATAATTTTCCATGCCACTGAATATAGACCAATTACCAGCACAATACAAACGTTTAGGATCTGAGGAAAAGATAGCAGAAGGCATTATGAGCATAATTCCCTACATAAAGAACATCACATAATAACTTTTATTTGTACCGGCTAAATCCCCAGTGGTGGAATTGGTGGTCAGAATGTAGGAATCTTTCATGTTGTACTACTTTCTTGAAAAACTGAAAGCCTTCCTATTTCTACCAGTGATGCATGAGTACAAATTTCCTTACAAATACTGTCCTCTTCTTTGAAACTTGGGCATTTTATTTTTACTTAATTTGTAACCCCCAAACTATAAAGGGTGTTTTTGTTGGCCATCTGACTTTGCTCTTTTACAAAGCTCTTAAACAGTTTCTTCCTGTACTTTTCCATAGGTTGTTTTTTCTCTTACCAATTTTCAAAGAGCTCTGTAGGACAGCTCAAAAAAATTCCCAACAAGTTTTAATGAATTCATAAATAAAAATACTATAAATTCAAAAAATCCCTTCAAAGTTAATTATTTTAATTTTATGGATACTCTCAGTTTTTGTTTTTTGGTTCCTTTGGGGTGGGTGTTTTGATTGATAAGGATTTTTTGTGCCTGGTGCTGGGGACTGAACATGGGACTTTGCACATGGTAGACAAGTGCTCTACCACTGAACTGCACCGCCATCTTCACTAATTTCCTCTTCTTAGTGTCTTGTAGTTTATTAGATTTTCTAATTAATTAGTACCAGTATGGAATGTATTTTTTGTTAGTAACGTAGGTATTTAGAATATTCCTTTTTCCTTTGGGCACCACCTTTACTATTTCTCATACCTATTTGTATGGAATATAAATATATATTACTTTTGTTTTAATTTACACTATTTGTAATTTTATTTCCTCTTTAAATAGCTATAGTATGTTCCTTAATTTTCCAAGTCAAGATTTCTTCCCACTCACCTCTTAATTACTTCTAATTTTATTGTTTTAAAATCAAACAATGTTATCTGTAAAAGTCTCTACTGCCTCAAATTTGCTAAATTTAACTTATAGCTAAGCATGTGATCTTCTTTAAGGGTTCTATGGTCATTTGGAGTAGGGGAGTATACTCTGAAGCCAAGAGATGTTAAGGCTATCTCTAAAAATTAAGTGGAACTCGTTGTTCCTATTAATTACCTGTTACTCAACAATGTCCAGAGAAGGTACTGATAAATAGCCTATGTAAGCATTTCATGATAATGTAAGTACATAAGTAGAGAACAGCTATTTAGAAATCTCTATGAACCTGACACTGTTGTGATATCCAAGTATGTGACCAGAACACTTGCCTCACTTAAGAGCTCATTTAGCTGAGATTGATAGTATATGCCTACTAATCCCAGCATTTGTGCATATGAAGTAGGGGTTTTGCAAGTTTGAGGCCAGCCCCAGCTACACAGCAAGACCTTTTCTTCCAAACAATACAAAACAAGAAATCATCTAGTTTCCTCAGCCTAGAATACATGTCACAGTGAAGGACCAAACATTAAAATTAATAAAAGTTTAAAAACTTAGGCCCTGAAAAGGGAACTTTTAATGACTGAGAATGCCATGGCTGGCACCCGAGCCCCGCTCTCAGAGAAGGGGAGGTGATCCTCCACCACTTGGGTCAAAATTCCTAGGTCTGCTAATTGCTGTTCGTAAGGTTGTAAAGATCCCTCCACCCAGGGGATAACTGACAGACCCTGTGACCCTGTAACTCTACAAGCCCATGCCCTGTCTTATCTCACTCAAATGTATCTTGCTTAAAATATATAGTTATTGATTTACTCTGTACTTTGTATGACCTTAAGTAACCATGGAAACTCTGAAATTTGTGGCCTTCAACCTTATGGCCTACCCCTTTAAAAGCTTCTCTTTTTGGCTGCTTGGGATCTCATTTCCCCAACATGGAGTGAGATCCAAGCTGGCCAGCTTGAACAATAAAAAGAAACCTTTTGCTTTTGCATCAGAGTATGGACTTCTTGGGTTAGTCTCTGGAATTCCTCAAACCTGGTACAACAATAGCTACACATATACTTTATACCAAGATCCTATTATTTTAAATAATTGGCTGCACTCTAGCAGTTGCTACTATAAAAATAAAAACCTCAACAAAGTAACAAAATGATAGAGACTCTAACTTACCTGCAGGTAAGGAACCCGGGCCAGGTCCTGCTACAGCTGCTGTCATTTGCACTGGGGCAGGAACTCCACCTGGCATAGAAGCTTGCATCATAGGTGCACCATTGACATGCATTCCGCCCTGACCAAGAGAAAAACAAGTGTGAGCAAGTGTCTGCAGACTCAATTAGTCTATTGCCCTAAGTTTCTCTTAAAATTGGTAGCTCCAATAGTCTACCAAACATCTTTTTTGTATATGTCTTCTATAACATACTCTGAATTCCTCAGAAGCAAACTGCAGCACTTAACTTGAGCCTGGTTGTGTGAATGCAGTTAAGATCAAATATATGCACAGTGTAACAACTCATTCTTGACTTCACTGAGTGGTGCCTAACAATAAGAGTTTTTTTTTAAAAGCATACTCAAGACAAAAAAAGGGACTGAGACTTCAAAAAATCCTGCTGGTACTCCACATTTTTTTTCAAGAGTTAATTACTTCTGTCCTAAGATGTAACTTTCTTGGGAAGGGGGTGTGAATTTGTAGATTTTTTAATGACACATTCAATTTCCTGAGACAAAGGGAATGCAATCTTTTCATGAGGCATTCCCTAGAGAACTATGCACATCTTTGGAATGAAAAGAACTGCAAAGAATAAAAACACTTTTTAAAAAAATCAAATATACAAGCACCCAAAAAGAAGAAAGTTTAGAGTCTGAGTTCAGTAATATCCTACTCTTTCTGCACGTCTCTGCAGTCTGTGTATAGTAAAACAGCTTACTGATAAAGAAGTAAGGAATGAGATTCAGAGTAGAGATGCTGCTCCCATCTGCTGCTTCTTACACTGACAGCAGTGGTTTATCTGTTGAATAAGGTCCAAAATGGCTTGGATTTCAATAATTCACATGTTCATCCCTAACTCATCAATGGTTAGTAGATGAGGAGAGTGAAACATACTAGTACCCTGTTTTCTTCAGATACATTTCAAGACCTCCAGTGGATACTCAAAGCCTTAGGTATTTTTTAACTTGTCTGTATATATCACTATTTTCCTCCAAGGTTCAATTTAGAGCTTTACAACAATAACTAAAAATGGAACTACAGCAATGCTCTGCAATAAAAGTTGTATGAATGTTTTTTAAAATATCACATACATGTTCACCATAATCAAAACTAAAGCAGAAAAGGGGAAAGTGTACAGGGAGATAGTTAAAACAGGTTATGAGATTGGAAATGGTTCAGATCCTAATTTGCCACCTATAACTCTTCTGGATTGGTTGCCTTTTTCAGTCTTAATTTTCCATTTCTGCAAAATACTTATTTAGGACAGGGTCTGGTAAACTATTTCTCATTGGTTAAATTCCTCTCTCATCTTTTGTTGTTGTTATTTTTTGAGACAGAATCTTTCTATATAATCTTGGCAATCCTGGAACTCTATGTAGACCAAGTTGGCCTCAAACTCAGAAATTCGGCTGGCTGCCTCTGCCTCTCAAGTGCTAGGATTAATGGCATGTATCACCTAATTGGCTAAACTCTTAACCAGTTAAATTTTTTTCAATCCAGGAATAGTGGTGTATGCCTTTAATTCCAGCACTCAGGAGGCAGAGACAGGTGGATCTTTGTGAGTTAAGAGGCCAGCCTGGTCTACACAGTGAGTGAGTTCCAGGACTATCCTAGAGTCATATAGTCCTTGTCTAATATATATTTTTTTTCCTCAAATTTTTTGTGTTCACATGTACACCCCAGCATGCATGTGGAGGTCAGAGATTAGAGGACAACTTGTTTAAGGTCTGTTTTTCCACTATATGGCAACGGGGGTTGAACTCAGGTTGTTAGGTGTGGCAATAAGCACCTTTATCTATTGAGCCATCTCGTCATCCATCCATCCATCCATCCATCCATCCATCCATCCATCCATCCATCCATCCATCCATCCATCCATCCATCCATCCATCCATCCATCCATCCATCCATCCATCCATCCATCCATCCATCCATCCATCCATCCATCCATCCATCCATCCATCCATCCATCCATCCATCCATCTTTCTAGTGTGCATGTGTATATACGATGGCATTCTTGAGAACAATTTGTAGGAATACATTCTCTCCTTCCACAATGTGTATCCCAATGATTGAACTCACCCTGATAGCAAACACCCTTATTTTCTAAACCATTTTGCAGGCCCCAGACTTTGATTTTTTGAGGCAGTGTCTTAAAAACCCCAGAATGGCTTCCATTTTGCTAGGTAGCCAAGGTTGCCCCTGAACTCTGATCTCCCTGCCTCTATCTTCTGTCTTTACTTTCCAAGTGCTGAGATTATAGGCATCATGATGCCTATTTCTAGCAGTGGCTTTATAAGTAAGGTTTTCTTGGAATACAATCACATACTTTTACATATTATTTCACATTACAGAGATGATACAGCGAGTAAAGCCAAAGGGATTTACTATCTGAGTTTCTAAAGAAAATCTTTACTAATCTTTGCCCTATACCATCACTGAATTCATCCATGTGGTGGTTTATTTTAGCTTGTATTTTATTTTTAGATTGAATACTTAATTTCAATTTTGTTAACTGTTTATGCCCACTACCCATTTTGGTATTTTTTAAATTTATGGGCTTTTGCTTATGAAAATAGAGATATAAACAACATAACCTCGTATGTGGTTAAAATTACACCTCGCCTGGTGGTGGTGGCACACGCATTTTAACTCAGCACTCGGGAGGCAGAGGCAGGTGGATCTCTGTGAGTTCGAGACCAGCCTGGTCTACAAGAGCTAGTTCCAGGACAGCCTCCAAAGCCACAGAAAAACCCTGTCTCGAAAAAACAAATTACCCCTCATATTTTTCAAACTCCTTAAATAACTACTCAGAATTCTTATACACATTTAAACTGTTTATATTTGAGCTGGAAAGATGGCTCAATGTTTATAAATACTTGCTTTTCTTGCAGAGGATTTGGGTTCAGTTCCCAGTACTCACACAGAAGCACAAAAATGGTCTCTAACTAATTCTAGGAAATCTGGCATCATTTTCTGGCCTCCTGGGACACTGCATACGCAGTGTACTTACACATATGCAGAAAAACAGATACACATAACATAAATCTTTAAAACATACCTATATAAATTGAATGATTTTTGGCATTTCACTTAGCAGTTTGAGAGTTTATGCTGATACATATATCAACACAGAAAATGTTCTCATATTTACTTAATTTCACTTTCTGTATGCTGTTGTATTTTTGAGTTATCTGTGTTGCTATCACATATTCTTGTCTATCTTAATGCTGTAGGGCATTAGGTTTCTATAAGTCATTCCTATTCATACATGTAGTATACTTTTTAATGTTTTCCACTGGATAGATATACCAAATTTTCTCCACTTTTCATTAATGAACATTTCACATGTTTTTAATACCAGTTATTATATGGCAATAGACACCTTGCAACATGGCCAAGTACTCTTTATTTAGAATTAGCCTATTGCACATATGTGTGGCAAATCCTCTATCAATTTAGTCTTTAGTGTTTGCTTCCTTTTCCTTACAACAAATGTCAACCTTTAGATGTATTACATTTTCATGTCTTTAGGGTTACAATCATGCTTTTGAACACGTGCTTTCCCCTTTGTTTCTGCTGAGAATGGAGACAGTAAGAATGCTTGCCTCATTTTGCTGCTATATGGATTAAATGAGATAAAGGATACTGAAGTGATAACCAGAGTGGCAGGGATATACACCCACAAAAAAAAATAGCTTACTAGAAAGGGTTCACAGGAAGGATCTCTGTTTTATTAACTTGGAATGCAATCTACATTTTTTCAGGTGGCATGTGTTCTGCAATCTGAAAATTGCTTTTACGCCTAAAAAATTTAATTACCATCTCTGATTCTTGCTGTTTCTTCTCTCAATATTCTCCTGGAAAGAAAATAACATTTTAAGACAGATAAAAAAATGTTGTGGAATAAAACCCTACCAAAGATTGAGCCTGAGGGGCCTGAGGATTCTGCTGGTTCATTGAAACATTGGGTCCTGAGCCAGGCCCAGGAACATGGACTGGCTGAGGGTTGCCTGAAATCAGCGTTGGGATATTTGTCTGGCGATGCAGAATTTTCTAAAAGTGAAAAGATACATCTATGAGCTGTCTGTTTAACAAGCCAATCAGGCAGTTCTTATCCCATACAAGAACCAGAAGCACTCACCAGGGCAATCTCAGGATCCACAATTCTCATCACTACCTGTGCTTGTAGCAAAGCATAAGCCAGTTGTGGATTCTGAAGCAACATGTTTCGTGCTTCCTGGGGACTATTCTGGACACAGAGCTGAGAAGATAAGAAAATTCACCTTCAGATTCAATACAAAGAATCTGACTTGAGCCATTTAATCTCATAAACATCATATTCAAGACAATGTCTGAGTTACTAGTGATTTTCTTTTTGAGACAGAGTCTCATGTATCCCATTCTGGTTTTGAACTCACTGTGACTCTTCTGCCTCAGCATCCCAAGTGGTGGGACTAAAGGCACAAAATACCATGCCTGGTGATTTAGCACTGATTTTGACATTGAACAAAAAATCGTGGCTGTGGCAGGCAATCAAAGGCATTTAGAATATGCTAATGTTATCACTTATGGGCAAAACTATAATTTAACATCTACAGGGGGCATAGAAACACAGTAGACTGTTTGGGAAGGTCTGTTTGTATATAAAAATAAATGTGTGTATAAAAAGTGGATGCTACAGTGCCTACAGACTCAACTCCTTAAGCTGGGGGAACTCTGTCCATTAACCTTTGAATAGCTGTTGTCAATTGTGTTTATCATCTAACACCCCCTCCCACCTTCATTTGTTTCATCAGCTCAAACATCTGCTCTGGGGGAAGGCTGGCGACTGCTTTGCTAATAGACTCAGGGGCATCCTCAGGACTGATGGTCTCTCCATAAGGTGACTCAATGACCGGTGCACCAGTTCCAAGGCCTGATTAGGAAGAGAGCACAACAAAGTCAGGAAGGCAAAATAACAACCTAAGTCATTTCAAATGGCTATTTTCCAGGGTGTCTGTGAGCACCAACCAGTAACTTCAGATTCTGGAGCTAGAAATTAAGCCACCTAAAAATCTTTCTGAGAAGGAAAGTGACAGTGTATCTTCTGTTCTTAGGTAACAGCTATGAAAGTGATAATGCTGCTATTGATTTTGTTGGCAAATCACTTCAGAAGAAAAACATTTAAATAGACAAAGATGCTAACTTCAACAGGATTTGTGGAAATGCCTTTAGGCTTTATGAACCTGAAATGTCCCAAAAAGTGGAGACCAACTCCTAAAGAACAGAAAGATTTCTAAAGCCAAGTTGCTTAAATGTACACATCTTTCACTCCAGGCACCCTTGGTTCTAAGAAGCTTTTCCTTCAGCTAACCACCTCAGCATCTTCTAAAGCATAATCCCAAATGAACAACTTGGATCATCTTCTCATCTTCATTAACTTGTAATATATATGGCTTGCATTTATACTCACTTTTCAGTTCTTCTTTGTTCTTTTCACTGGCAGCATTATCCACTCGAAGTGCTCGTCCACTGAATTCACGCCCATTCAAGTTCCGCATGGCACTAAGTGCTGTTTCTTGGTCTTGGTATTCACAGAAGCCATAACCTTTTGGTTTTCCTGTCTCCCTATCATATACCAATCTGAAGAGCAAAACCAAGTATCAGAAACAAATGCTACACACACACACACACACACACACACACACACACACAGGCTTCTTGCTAACATTGGCATGTTCTAATTTAGACCACAGTAAGATACCCTTCTAAGCCAGGCATGGTGGTGCATGCCTTTAATCCCAATGCTCAGGAGGCAGAGGCAGGCAGATTTCTGTGGTTCAAGGTCAGTCTGGCTATACACTGAGTTTCAGGACAGCCAAGCCTGTTACACAGAGGAACCCTGTCTCCAAATCCCCCCAAAAAGACACTCTTCTATTTCTGCTTTTATGTTTTTGAAACATTTTTAATGAAAGAAATTTTCCAAGTAAGACTGGATATGAATTATAAAGCATGTACATTTATCTCAAAATCTGTGGTTTTTAAAGAATCTCCCATGAAGATCTTAAAAGTTCTCACCTGAAACTAACAACAGGCCCAACCTCAGAGAAGATGTCCTTCAGTTGTTCTTCAGTAGCTTCATACGGAATGTTTCCCACTAAGGAACAGATAATACATTAAAATGCTGGTGCAGTAATGGAGCTCTTCAGTAAGCAAGTAAACAGTAGGCTTTCTATTTTTATCAATAAATAGGTAACAAGTTGACTGAACAGTGTTCTCCAAAACGCTTCCACTGTACCTTTTCAGACCCCACAACAGACCCAGAGGCAAAATAAAAAAAGAAGTCTTTCAAACAGTTCTCATATGGATATGACAAATAGGATGTTTTCCCTTACTTTGATGAAAATATATGTTTAAGCACTGGTATTTACTCATAACCCTGTGTTTGACCAGTGACTACTAAAAACATAAAGAGGGTGGGTTCATGTCTGTATTTCCATGTATACACATGCTTATGGAGTGAATAGCCAGGAATATAGTGGAGGGGGGTTAAAAATCATTCTCAACTGTTTTGTCATGTTTCTTTCAAACAGTGCTTCTTGTTCTTTTTGTTTTAAGTCTTATTATATAGTGTGGCCGGCCTTGTTATGTAACCTAGGCTGGCGTTGAATTTGAGGCAATTGTACTGCCCCAAAACGTGCTTTTAAACGTGCACTCAGGAGGCAGAAAAAAAAAAAAACCAAAAACAAAGAAAAAAAAACCACCCCCCCCCAAAAGTGCACGCCTTTAACCCCAGCACTTGGGAGGCAGAAAAAACCAACAACAAAAAAAGCGCATGCCTTTAATCCCAGCACTTAGGCAGAAAAAAAGCAACCAACAAAACAAAACCACCACCCCTCCCCCCAAAAGCTTAAGTTTTGTTTTTGTTTTTTTGTTTTTGTTTTTTTTGGTTTTTGGAGACAGGGTTTCTAGGGCTTTAGAGGCTGTCCTGGAACTAGCTCTTGTAGACCGAACTGGTCTCAAACTCAGAGATCCTCCTACCTCTGCCTCCCGTGTGCTGGGATTAAAGACATGTGCCACCAACGCCCGGCAAAAGCACACGTTTTTATTTTTTGGTTTTTCGAGACAGTGTTTCTCTGTGGCTTTTGGAGGCTGTCCTGGAGCTAGCTCTTGTAGACCAGGCTGGTCCCAACCCCACGGAGTCCCGCCTGCCTCTGCCTCCCTATTGCTAGGATTAAAGGCGTGCGCCACCAACGCCCTACTAAAAGCGCACGTTTTTAATCCCAGCCCTTGGGAGCCAGAAAAAAAACCAACCCCTGCCCCCAAGGAAAAAAAAAAACAGCAATACACGTGGCACACGCCTTTAATGCCAGCACTCTGGAAGCAGGGACAGGAGGATCTCTGTGAGCTCGAGACCAACCTGGTCTCCAGAGTGAGTTCCAGGACAGCCTCCAAAGCCACACAGAGAAACCCTGTCTCGAAAAAAAAAAAATTAACTCATTTAATTCCTAAGAACTGTTTAGTTTCGCTTCTCTAGAATCTCCCTGAGCTTTCATCAATCAATCATTCATTCATTCATTCGCAACCCACCTCAAGGTGCCCAGGTGGCCGCTACCACTATGGTTGGATGAAACGTTACAAGTAAAAAGCAAGCGATATTAGGCGTTTATGAGAGGGCAGGAAGTGGATATAGGGTCGATGGCTTCAAAATTAAATCTGTATTTTGGGCTAGGAGAAGCAGCACGGAACAGGGGCGCTCTGTTTCCACGCACCTTTTCTCCTAAAAAATAACTGAGAATCATGAAGGGGAAAACAGAGACGACAAACGCTAGGGTCTAGCTCCCTGAACCACACTGCGGAAAACCTCCAATACCTTGGAGCCCAAGTTGGGGGGGGGGGGCTCTGTTTGCCCACGAGTACACCAGGCTGCCGCGTCAAAGGACAGCGGGGAAATCGCACGCCCGCCCCGACACCCGCTCCAGCTGGGGACCGCAGGGGACATCCCTCCCTGACTGGAGGCGCCACTAAATTCCTCTCACCGCACACAGAACGCAGAGAACGATCCACCGCAGGGTCTCTAACAGGCAACCCCGCCATGGCTACCCCTGAGGTGGCTTCCGGTGCGCCTAAAACACACTTCCGTGGCAGAGTGAGGCCAGGGCCGAGCGCGCCTCCGTCCGGTGGGAGCCGGAAGCACCTGGACAGAGCCGCCACGGATCTCGTTCCGCGCGTCACGTTGTGGGTTCCCGCCTAGGGTTTTGTTCGGGGGTGGGGCAACAGTCTGCGGGAAGACCTACGGCCCGAGAAAAGGGGCGTGGGTTGCCCGCAGGGGGCCGAGCTATGCTAATTTGAAGTCTCTGCGTTTGCGGTCCTCCTCCTCCGTCATTTTCACTGGTGCACATCCAAACGTTTGTAAGCAGCGCTACAGATGGCTGCCGCAGATTTACCCTGGCAACAGGGAAGTCATTTGCTAACAGCTCTGGCACTGTCATCTTCGTTCTGTCCTACTAGAAATGTGGGGGCCGTCCCCAGTAGCATACATCCTATTACTTTGTTGACGCTTCCCTGTACTGAGGGAGAGCTGAGAGAGGCTGGGGAATGAGAGGACTCTCAAAGTCTAGTACCAGCACTAGTAAGAAAGCCTAGGGGCAGTGTGGCACTGGACATGAGCAGGGGAAGTTTTGGAAGCCATGGAAAATGCCCTTGGCTGTGGTTGTGCACACCTCCTGGGTTAGTACCAGAACAGTTAGCCTGCCACTGGAGTTGGAGGAAATGCAGGGTGGGTTATCCTGAGGGAAATCAGATTAAAAGAACAAGGAAAGGAGTTAATAGCCCTGCCGTCCGAGAAAACCTACCTGGCAAAGTAAGTCCAATGTAGTAAAATAGGCACAGACTTGGAGGCATGGGTTTAAAAATGCCAATTCCATGAGCTGGGTATGTGGCCCATCGGTAGAGTGCTTACAAACCATGCATTAAATCCCCAGAAAAACATACATCCTGTATCAGAAGAGTCTGTGCTTTAAAAATGAGGAATAGAACACACAACACGCACACACACAGAGGAACATGTCTCGAGTAACTCTGGTAAAGAGGAAAGTTGGCAAGTATCACCGATTGAATTTCCAATCACTATGTGACCTATAGGATCTTTTATATAATAGAATTGTTTGGAGCTTGATATTTACAGCTCTGTAAAAGGCACAGATTGACAATTTTGGTGCATCACAGTTCAATGTAGTGAATTTTCACTAAATGAATGTATGGCTAAGTAGATTTCTCACCTAACGTTTCAAAATTCATACAGACAAAAGATTTAGTTGGGGTACTTAACTAAAAATAGGGGTTCTTGGACCTCTACTCCAATCTACATATAGGGTGAGATTTTACACAAGGAATGAGAGAATTATTTTTTCTATGAGTGCCTCTGGTGGTTCTCTGGCCATGCAATTTGGGAAACGTAGTTAATGAAGTAGTTTTGTGACAACATTTGGTGCAGCCATACATTCTTTTTTTATCTGTGATTTTTCTTAAGTAATAGCGGGGCAGCTCTTCTAGTAGGCCTAGAAAATTTTGCTCAGCTTTACCCCTTGTGAGTGAGGAGGCTTGGAAACGGAGTGGAGTGGTTTTGGTTGCTGGATGACTAGCGAAACAGTATGACTGCAAGAAGATGCAGAAACAAGAAACATACTGTCATATCTAGAGTGCTACTCAATGAACTCCTCACTCTACCAGATGCCAATGTTTCTATCAGCTATAGTGGAGAAAACAGACCCTGGCTCTAACATCCATGTTGTGTGGTCAGTTTTGCATGGGTAACTTCTACTTTAGCTCTCTCACAACTATGCAGCTAATTCCAATAAAAGCTGACATTTGTAGGTGGAAAGTTTCTACACCCCGATAAGCATCTCTGCCAATGCAGTAATCCTAATCAGACCAAATCAAACTGAATTAGAAAAAGCCACGTTTAATGGATGCAACGCTCCCAGATGGCCTTCCAGTCCCCAAGCAGGGATGGGGGAAGACCGGAAAACCAGGTCTACTTTCTGAGAGGCAGTTTAAATACCCTGTAGGAGTAGTCCTGGCCGTCTCTGGGGGAGGGGTCATCACTTGGCAGGCTTACTGAGATGTAACAGAGTTTGGAGAGGGATAGGGGAGGAGGCTTGGGTGGAACTTCCACCATAACATCAGTTAAGAGCATTGGCAGCTCCTCCAGAGGTCCTGAGTTCAATTCCCAGCGCCCACAAGGCAGCTCACAACTGTCTGTAATTCAAATTCCAGGGGACCTTACTCCTTCACAAAGACATGTGTCTCCTTTTCCCGTCTCCCCTCTCTCGGGGACTGGAAGGCCATCTGGGAGTACTGTATCCATTAAACGTGGGCTTTTTCTAATTCGGTTTGATTTGGTCTGATTTGGATTGGCTTATGGGGTGTAGAAACTTTTCATTAGGTATTTGTCCCATCCTCTACAGTATCAGTTTTTGTGGGAGGCACAGAGGTCCATGTGCTCACAGATAAGCACTAGGGGAACCAGGAAGATTTCCCACAGTGTTGTCTCCTCAGGGGGAGAGATGTACAACCTGTTTCCTGCCCACAAGGCTAGGAGCAGACATGGTTAATGGCCTGGTGACCTTTGCACTATCTGTGTGGTTGAGACAACAAACACCCTGCACCGGATCCTCCCCTAGACCCTTTTCATCAGCTTGTTTTTCTCAGTTAATCTGTAGCACCCGTCTTTGTGGAAGATGTCACATGGCTTTACAGAATTTCAATGTAGTCATGTCATATATGTCATATGCTTTGTTGGACACACATGACTGAGTTATCTATCACCAGGAAACTTTTTCCTAAATTGTGCTGTGCTCAAATATGCCTGAAATAAACTGCCCACAGTCAGACTAAGTTTGAACAGACAGCAGCTACTGAGTCCTGTTTAACTTTCTTGCCTCCTGTGGATCATTACTCTGCTGGCCATGGTATTCTCAGCGCCCCCATAAGTCCTATTGCTGTACAATAGCTTTCCATGGAAGGATAGTTTATGACAATGTTAATTTGTCACAGTTCTGTGGGTCAGAAGTCAGATTTTCTACGGCTGCCTTCTCCATTTAAGTTTTCACAAGAATGGAATCCGTGTGTTGGGCTTTATGTGGGTTGTCTATGGGACACAACCGGCTTTCAATCCCACTTTATTGTGAGCAAAAAACAAAACAAAACAAAAAAGGTTCATTGTGGTCATACACTGTGTTTCTTTCCTTGCCTATTTTCCGGGCTATTCATTTTGTCTCTTGAATGCAAAAGCTTCTCTCTGGTGGATGCATGGGGTAACTACATCTCAGAGCCAGCTCTTGTGTGATAAGACTTTTCCTGGGGAGATGCAACACAAATATCCGAGACCCTTGGGAAGGACAGTCGGTTGGTCTGAACTGCTTCCAGGCAGCTTGGCAGGTTTCTGCTTCTTCCAGGCAGTTGCTGTGGTCTCAGAGTCTTTGCTGCAGCCTGGCTTATCAGAGTCTTTTTTGCACCTTGGCCTGTCTCACAGGGACTCCAGCAGCTTGGCTTGTTTACTGTTGGGAAGAAGGGGCCCGAGCGATTCTGATCAGTTTCTGGACTCCTGAAGCTATTTTGAGTTGTTTACCATCCTGCTTAAGGAGCTTCCTTGCAGGGGGGAATGTTTCAATCTCAGGGGTAGGGGCAGGGTGTGGAAGTGTGGGGGTGGCTACAGAACACCAGCAATGGCCCAATGAAAACTTGTGCTCCCAATCTGTTTTGTAATCATAACTGGAAAATATTCTGCTTGTACAGGGTCTTTGAGCCTAGGCTAGGCTCGCCTAGATAATTTCTCTATATTAAGATCAACCATGTTGGGGCTGGAGAAATGATTGAGCAGTTAAGAGCACTTGCTGTTCCTGCAGAGAAGGCAGGTTCCATTTTCAGCACCCACATAGCAGCTCAAAAGGGTCTGTTACAGATCTGTGGAATCACACGCCCTTCTCTGACCTCCATGGATACCAGGCACACATGTGGTATACATACTTACATACAAACAAACACTCATACACATAAAACAAAACATAATTTTTTGTAAAAAAAAATCAACTATGTTATAACCATGAAAGTAAAAGTCAGTATAATCATGTAAGGCCTTAAGAATTAGCAAGCAAATACATCAAGATATTTGGAAAAAAAATCTTAGGGTCCATTACGTTAGACAACTGCTTATTAGGCCCATTTTGTGGATAGTCATGGTTAAGTAGCCAGGGTGTGGTTACACATGATGATAATCCCAACACTTGGGTGCCTAAATCAGGAGGATTGTGGATTTCAGCCTAGCTTGGGCTACACAGTGAGACACTGTCTCAAAAAATATTTGGAGAACTTGCTTTAGGGCCCACAATAAGTAGCTGTGGCATGGTTTTTCTGGTGCCAGAGACTTATTTAAATGCTATTTTTATTCCCTCTTAATATAACTGAGAAAATTTAGATGGCTCAATATGTTTCATTACCATTTTGGGGAAATAATGTAAAGCATATGACCTTGTGATGGTGAGTAAGTACCGCTCATAGAATGAAACCACCAAGAAAAGATTTGAGGCCCTTAGCCAGAATTTATTCTGCATCACTAGCCATCTGTGGAAAATGTACTTACTATATGCATTATCACATCAGCAGCTAAAACTGACTGTAGTAATTATACACGAGGAGGTGTGTGCAAAGAATGCATCCTAAATGTTTGCTGATTTATCTTTTGATTTAATGTATAGGCTGAGAACTAGTTACTCTTATCTCAGGGCCTGCCTATTGAGAATCTTCTCATCATTAACACATTCCCTGTGTGACACTTCTTTTGTCATCAGTTTATAGCAAAGTGAAGACACAAAGTGTCTTGAAGCTGTTATAATTGAAGGTTAAATTAGCAATGATATGGGTGTGATATTAAGAAGTAGGAAAAAGCTGGGAGGTGGTGGCACACGCCTTTGATCCCAGCACTAGGGAGGCAGAGGCAGGTGGATCTCTGTGAGTTCGAGACCAGCCTGGTCTACAAGAGCTAGTTCCAGGACAGCCTCCAAAGCCACAGAGAAACCCTGTCTCGAAAAACCAAAAAAAAAAAAAAAAAAAAAAAGGTTTATGGGACTGAAAAATTGGTAAGAAACTCTTGAGTTCTTAACTACTCTTGAAGATGACATCACAAATTTTGGATGGGATATAC